ATCATCACCTTCAAGAAATGAGTGGGGATGATGTTTATCGAAGGCACTTCCAGGACATTACACATTATATGGAAGATTTACAGGGCTTTGTCTACCTTTCCATGAAGCCCGGATGAAGTTTGGGAAGAGGTAGGGAGTGTGTTTCAGCCGAAACACTACTGTATCCATAGCTATTCTGTTACTTGGAATACTTCAATATCATTCCCGGTTTTTCTGGATTTTTTAAAAATTCAATTGTTCCCGAAGAATGATTGAGCTAATAGGAAAAAGATTAAGTAGTTAAACCCTTTTCCATCTGTACTTGAAAATATGAGGATAGAATGGTATTTTTAAAGCAAGTGACAGACCACGACCGGTGTCTGAACTGTTGCAAAAGGTGCCGGTACAGCGGTAATGACGTCAATAAGAGAGCCCAACTAGGGGATTCGAAGGCTGTGCAGTTCCTCGCAGTATTGGCTTCACGCGTGCTCTTACTCAATCGCAACATTGACGCACTCATAGGGGCTTCTTCGCTCTTTGTGAACTGCGGCGGAACATCTCAGCCCTAGGCCAACGGTGAGTGTCACCAGCGTTGGACAACATGTTACTGCATTGTTGCCTGGGGCGTTGCACGAACTTTTTGTAGATTAGCTCTGGTTGGTACGAATGCTGTTCAGCACGCGAAGCGGATCTCTAGCTTCTACTGGGCATTAAGCTCTCCTCTGGAATCGCCACTTGGATGACATCGCCGTCGTAACGTACGTCTATATGGCGGGCAGAGGATCTGTCGCCTGCCCTTATTGACTGAAATGCACTAAAAAAAATTCGGTCCCACAACTGTGGCTGTTTTTGAGGTTGTGTGCAGAGTAGGTCACTTCGGACAATAACTTCACTGTGGAAGATCACTGGCTATTCTCTAGGCAATACTCCGCTAATTGCTTGCTCTACAGGCATCCGTAGGCTTTATTTCTACATACATTAAAACGGGATTTGTCAGGGCAGCATCTTCCATGCCGGCTAGAGGGCTTTAAGGGGGGCTTTGTGTTGTACTCTTGATGGGGCGTGGACTCTTCTGCATCTATTTTATGGGGGTCCTTGGTATGCGGCCTGCTGTCGGGAGAGACAGTTTGGGAAGTGCTATCACTATATGAAGAAGACTCGATCCCGCTCCGACTTGTTCTCCTTCCTGCCTGGTGTCCTAAAAACGACAAATCGATATGCGTTCGCAGGCAAGGTTTACCCCAGCAAGACGTCGCCTCCATCTCCGTAGCTACAACATCCAGCGGGCTACATTAAGAGTTCTCCGTAGTTTGTCCTTGGAAGATATCATTTTCACCGGAGATAGATGCGCTAGCAATACTATTGGAAAACTCGTTAAGGAATTATGGCATGAGGGCGTGCCTTTGAGGCCTCTGCCCAGTTAAGGAATTATGGCATGAGGGCTTGTCTTTGAGATTTCTGTCCGACGCACTTTCAAACTATTTCAAGGACGTTTTTTCAGACAACCATAGCATGGATGAAGAGTTCAAGGAACAAATGAGTGCTCTCTTTCGTTGACGATCCGCTATAAGATACTCGTTTTTGTCGTTGCCTTTTTCCCTTAGCAACCAACCCTCTTTCTCTAGAAGAGCAATGCTCGTTATTCACTCCTAATATATTTTCGTTCACCTCAAGAGGCACAAATCCTCTACATACCATAGGTGACCCTGGGTTTACTTTTTATCCACTATTTTGGCTTCATGACCTGTTGCATGCCGCTGGACCCAAATCTTCTTAGTTGCTCCGAAAATTATGTGTAGCTTTTGCGGAGGTTACTCTTGCCTCTGCTGGTATGTGTGCTTCGCGAGAAAGACCCGCCAAAGACCTTTGGCTGCTCTTTCTCGCTCTACGCGGTACGAATCGCCGGAGGCTCTATCCCTTGGCTGACTCTTCGCTACTTGAGCTTTGCTTTTGTGTGGTTGTCGTAGCAGTTGGGATATTCTTCGATGTCCCGGAATTGTGGAGAGTCTGCTGCCCCTCAAGAAATCTCCTGAAAGAAAAAGCACGAATGTGCAGATACTGCCCAGTTTTTTATATACTAGGGCACTCTCAATCCGTCGATTGAGACGTCTCGTTTTGTTTGCATACAGCTGCTAGGCGCTTGCATATGCGCCTTCCGCCAAGTAGTCTAAACGCCTAGCTCCACCCTCTAGCTATCTAACCAGAACGCGCAATTCACGCATTACCAAATGGATGATGAGCCTTCTATAGACACAAAAAGAATTAAACACTATTCCCCTGTGGCAGTGTGATCGCAGCCTACAGGCTTGGCTCCTTTATAACTTCGTCACAATGTGTACGACAACAATATGACTTCTTAAATCAGCTTATTATTTATTTGTTTATTTACTTCTAGCATTCTTACAGTTTTTAACTATCTTTTTTACTCAATTGCATTGCTTCTTAGCCCCAGGCGCTACCTGAAGGGGCGCTGGCTGCACGCCGCGCATTCGTCGTACTGCGTGCAGCTCCTGTCAGCCCTAAAAAGCACGTGGTCTTGCCGTGGTGGACCTTGTGCAGCATTTCTTCCACCAAGTCCTTTTCTCTATCCTTCAATACTTTTCCCCGGTTGTTGGTCTAACTGTAGGAGCCAGTACTACCACCGCAGGCCATCGTTCACCCTGCGGGTCGTCGTTAGGAAGCGCTCAGTGGCTGGGCGGCCTGGCTGTAGACAGCGAGGCAACCGCAACATATCGGGGTAAGTATACTGCCCACAACTTTTAATCAGGAACAGTTGGCAGCAAATTTGGTGACTGCAGCTACGTAGCAGAGCTCGGTCTTGAGCTGACGTGTGGACAAAGGGGACAGCATCGGGGCCTTGGTGACGTTGGGTGATTCCGCATTCCTCTTCATGCTGAGACGCAAAATGGACTGTGTAGAAAGCAGGTGCCACCCCGACGACCCTGCAATCGACGGACTTTTGGCTCCCGCGATCGGCGGTTGCGCCCTTATGATCGTTTAGCGCTAGCTCCAAGCGGACTGAAGGGACCTGTCGCTCTCTGACGAGGTCCCAGTTACCTCCAGAACCAGCGACGCAGAAGAAAAAAGTCTAAGAGATATAGCCCCGAGAAACTAATCGTGTAGGCCATAAAGAAGATCAGAGGCAGAAAGCTTTGTCGGGCACATTTTTTAACACGCATCAATTAGTTCTTTGGATGCTTCTGCCTAGGCCTTCAATTTGCACGAGAGAACTACAAATCAGGGCAAATGATCATCGCAAACTTCTCCATGCTCCTGAATTAGGGCTGTGAGATGATCTACCTAATTGTCATGCATATCACTTGGCCAGGAAGCTGAAAGAGAGTGCGGGAGCACGAGAGCTCTGGCGGAAGCCAACTGAGCCCTGTAGCATTAGCTCATGCCAGCACCAAAGTCTTCAGCAGCCAATGAAAACTGCTTGTGCGGCCGTTCGCTTGTTAATTGCTGGACCTACTGCTCTACAGTTACATTTGCTACGGTGTAGTCGCGGTAAGTTTTTGGCTGTCCATGGAGAGGCATGTGACCCATGAATGTTCTTTCATAGGGTTACTAAGACAGCAAGAATAGGATTCCACTCACAATCTAGGGCGCACTGAGGGAGACTGCCAGGGTGCAAAGGAAAAGAGCCTTGTTGCCTACTGGGGGACGCATAACAGCTGCCGCACCCGATTCTTTTTGTAGGCTGTAATTGTCACACAGAATAGCGTAGAAGGCAGTTGCTGACGCCGCACAATGCAGTGTTAACATCTAGAAACTTACGGGAAGAAATAGCAAAAGAGTCGTCGACACAAATGGTGACAGTGCCTGGAGTAACCGCAACGCGCAGCAGGCGCAGAGGCACACAACAAAACAAGGGGGCAGTGCGGAGCTGCAGATGCAAGGGTTATTCTGGGCAGCCACTACGGAATGGGTATACCATTGGCTTCTACTGCAGTTTGGCAGAGGAAGCGTTCTAAGAATGAGGAAGCGATCTAAGAATGACTGTAGCGAAGATTGTAATGCGTCAGAAAGTTCAAAGCGCAGGGCCCCGTGAGCAAAGCGCGGTGGAATTTAAGAAATAGCTATGCCTTTTCAATAAAAGTGAAACTTACATTGGGAGGAGGAATACCAGCCTAAAACGGATAGCGCCGCAGCCTCTGCGAGTACTGCCTCTGGCTCAGTACTGTAGGTGGACTGTAGTGCACAGCACCTACTGCTGCGACTACGTTGCTACCTGCCACCTCGAGTAGGGGCCCTTGATAACCGTCCACCTTCGGCGCATTTCCTTGAAACAGTAGTCCAAATATCACGAAATACAGTTATTTATAGTTTTTTTCAAAATCTGTTCTTCTGAAAATCCACCCCACTCGGAGTTCTCGCCTCCTAGGCTGTAGTGCGCAGACACTACAATGGGGCTTGCTGGTGACCTATAGAGGATAGCTAACTGATGATCTATAGGCGGTTAAGAGGTTGAGACGCGGATTGAGCGCTGTAACCTCTTACTAGTGAAATACGAATGCAATTAATTAACAAATTAACATGTATAGACTAGAAATGCCTGCGAATGCTCTAAGAATGGGGCTGCCGACAACGCCGGCACAGGTGCGCGTCACATCCTCACCGGACCAGCACAGCAGGAACAGGAAGAAATTACTTTCATGAAAATATGGTTTGAGAACTTGAAACAAAACGGTCTGTTAAATGCATTTGCAGACGTTACGCGACCGATGCGTCGGTAGTAAAGAATATTTCTCAGAACTCCCGAGTTGTGGGCAGTGCAGCATCGTAAACGCTGCAGAGAACGCAGTGTACTAGATAGGCCCTGTGGGGAGGAGGCCTGCACCGGTGCCGGCGCTATCGCCAGCCCCAATATCCAGGTATTTACAGGCACGTCTAGTGTATACATGCTAATTCGCCGACAAATTGCCTAACTTCGATCCTGGTAAGAGGGTCCTGTCCTCGTTCAGTGTTTTGACCTCTTGTACGTCACCAGCTAGCTATCTTCTATAGGTCACCAGCAAGCCCTATTGTAGTGCCTGTACAGCGAAGGTGAAGTTGCGGACGGCAGGCTGCGTCGTCTGGGTCGTCGCGAACGAATTCCGGCGAGCTCCCTGCAGTTGGCAGGCCGACCACGAGTGCGAGGAGCGGCGCGCGCCTGTGCTACTGCAAGCATCAGGGGTGTCGGTGGTGTGTCCTGCCAGCAGGTTTTAGGAGGTTTTAGAAGACTGGGACGGCGAGACAAGGCATCAGCCACTTGATTGCGCGCTCCTTCAGCATAGGTGATGTGCAAATCCGGGAACTCGGCCAGGAAGTCTAACCAGTGGGCGATGCGTCCGCGCAGAGGCTTCGATGCTTAGAGTCGTTGGAGATGGGTGAGAGCTTGATGATCAGTCTAGGCCGTTACCTTGGAAAAACGGAGCAAGTGTGACCACGTGTCCAGGGCTGTGACCAATGCCAAGAGTTCCTGATCGTAGATCGAGTATCTCTGTTGTGTGGGGTTCATGACTTGTCTGACGAAGCTGATGGGCTTGCCGTCCTGTTCTGGAACTGCTCCGATCGCATAACCAGGGGCGTCCGTGTATAACTCGAAGAGTTTCGTGGTGTCAGGGACTTGTAGTGTAGTGAAGTCGATTAAGCGCTGTTTGAGCTGCCGCACCGCTGTAGATAGACATCTACAAAGGTTGTAGATAGACATCTACAACCTTTATTAGGACAGGGCGTTATGGCTTACCTAGATGATGTCCTTATCTATAGTCCCGTTCTTTCCGGGCGTGTCTGTGTTAGCCTGGAACGTAGCTGGAGCACCCTTAACGCCAAAGGGCATTACTCGGTACTTGAAGAGCCCGAGAACGGAACGGAAAGCCGTCTTTCAACGGTCTTCCTTAGCCATACGTATTTAATGGAATCCTGCTGCAAGGTCCAAAGTGGAAATACTTGGCGCCTCCTGTAGTACACTGCGTTCTCTCCAGCGTTTACAATGTTGCGCAACCCTCGAGTCTGGTCTTCAATGAAATCTTCTCTCCTACCGACGCATCGGTCGCGTATCGTCTACCAATTTATTAAAAAGACCATTTTATATCAAATTCTCAAAATCATATTTCATAAAAGTCCTTTCTTCTTGTTTTTGCTTTGCTGGTGCGGTGAGAATGTGACGCGCACCTGTGCCGGCGTTGTCAGCAGCCCCAATCTTAGAGCATTCGCAGGCCTTTCTAGTCCATACATGTTAATTTTTAAACAAATTGCATTTCGATTTCACCAGTAAGAGGTTACAGCGCTCAATCGGGGTCTCAACCTCTTAACCGCTTATAAGTCATCAGTTAGCTATCCTCTATAGGCCACCAGCAAGCCCCATTGTAGTGCCTGCACACTACACCTCCCAGCAGCTCCAGAATGGTTTGAATGGGAGGTAGTGGAAAATCAGGGGTTATTGTAAGGGCATTCAGAGCCTAGTAATTAACAACCATACGCATCTTACGCTCCCCGGAGACATCATCATGTTTGTCTACCATGACCGTAGGAGAGCAAATAGGCGAATGGGCTTGCCCGATCCAACCATTGCTCGATAATTTAGCTATCTCCTGTTTGTGGATTGTGAGCTGATCTGGGGTCATTCGGTATATCACAGATTTCGCTGGAAGTTTTCCAGGCACCACTAGGATATGGTGATCATGAGGGCGGTAATCCTTTAGGTAAGTTATCAAAAAAGACCGCTCGATACTCCTGCAACACCTGGATAATCTCGAATGGAATAGCCTGCGCCTCTGTCGAATTTGTCCATTCGCCGAACAGAGTGTGCTCGAGTTTTGCCATAGGCCAGGGCGACTCCTCTTCACCCACCGCTGGCTTCAAGGCGGTGGAGGCAAAAGGACTATCCTAGCCGGAGGATGTGGGCTGATTCCCAATTAAGGCGCAGCAAAGCGCGCCTTGCCATTCATCCGAGAACCTTAGGGGCACCGCCGAACCGGCTTCGGGCAAAGCCAGTAGGAGATGCAAACCGTGCAATGGTGCTCTCAGACTCTTTGTGTCAGCCGCCGCCTGACGAACGAGTGACGTTATCCGTGCCTTCGCCTTAGTCTTCGCATGGATATTCCTACGCCAGCCAACTTTTAGGTGGCTGGCATGGGAATATAGCTGCCTCCTCGGCTGACATACCCGCCACTTGTTTGGCCAATACCTCATATGCTTGCTCTGCCGGGGTCCTTGGGTGGACTACGGTGGGATTGTCACCTTGCAGCTTTGCTTCACCAGTCCTAACGACCGGTAACTCGTAACACTGGCCATTCACATAGGTTCGGAGCTTTTCAGACAGGAAATGCCAGGCCAACGTATATTCCGTCAGCCAATCCAAACCGAAGACCAAGCCATAGGGAACGGGTCCCACTTAAGTCCCCGGAAAAGCGTGCATGCCCGCACCAGATTGTCAATCCCGTCACAACCGGATCAATGCGTAATTATTCACCTGTAGCTTCGGTGAGCCTATGCTCTTCTGGAAGTCTCCGCACCTTGAGCTGCAGTCGTTCAACTGTTTTGGGACTAATGAAACTTCTCGAAGCCCCAGTCTCCAAGAGAGCCTCACATGGACTCCCTGCTAGCTCGTTGCGAAGCACCGCCATCGCAGCCACATAGCACAATGCTCCCCCCGTGTCTTGAGGCTCTTTCGCGCAAGTTTCCTGCCACCAGTGTGGCGCAAGCTCTGTTGCGTCTGATCTGTAGCCGTCTTCTGTTGCCTCTGCAGACTTCCTGCTGCTAGCCATCGTCGCGCCGGGAGCCTCTTTACACGGGATCGACGCTGACCCAGACTCCAACTGCGTTTTCCAAAGAGGCTGAGTCCCTTCCGCGTGCCCATCGCTCGTATTAGTTCCTTCCGCAGTGTTGCGGAGTTGGTTTCCCCACTCAAGGGAGACTGGAATGGCACTGGGGCCTGTCGCTACCGCACACATCATTCCACCCCCTTGCCATGGCTACGTGGCCTAGAGCGCTCGTCTCCGACCATGCCTAGGCCCCCTTGTTTAATCGTTCCGTCTTCTCGTTGCTACAACATGTGGGCTGCATACTGCTCTTCTCCTCCGGCTCGCTCCGGCCTCGTTCGTACGTAGGACAGTCCCTAGCAGAGTGCCCCACATCGCGACACTAATTGCGTATTTCCCTTAGACGTTTGGTACGTTGTCCGTTGATAGGGCAGACACGTGTCGGATGTCCGCGACCCTGACACTCATAGCAGTTTGCGTGGGTTCCCCCAGGGCGATATTCGATTTCCTGGCGCCGACGGGGTCCATCAGCTTGGATTGCAGCCCTGATGGCTCGACTGGTCCTTTCTCGGAGCTCCAGCACGCTCTGCTTGGGCTCGTAGAGGCGTGCTGCGGCTGTCGCCGCTTGTCCCCACGACCGATACTTCACCTGCCCGTTATTGGTGATTAGAAGATGGAGGGCCGTCTTTAGCCCGGTGCAGTAGTAGTCAGCGAGTTCATCAGGGGCGACACCCAAACCACTCTCCTCTACAGCCGCAGACCGGTCCGTGTGTGCCTTCGGGTTACCATTCCACCGCGCATTAGCCAACTCAGTCAACAATTGACTCTGCGACATTGTTTTGTCGAAGCGCTCCAAAAGCCTGCGCTGTACTGTTGCCCAGTCGCTAGGATCGATAGTTCGCCGTAGATACATCCAATACGTTAGAGCCGGGCCCACAAGGTGGTCAATACGTGCGTTTCCCCACTCGCGCGGCACCAATCCCATCTGGGTATACCGGCGCTGGATGCGCAGCAAAAAGGCCTGCATAGTGCTGCCGTATTCTGGTAGTATGGGAAACGTTACCCCCGTTTTCCCGGTCCTGTCTATAACAGTTCCTATCACACTCATAGCGGACTGGAACTGGTATCACGTGACGAATGGACTGTACCCTGGAATAACATTGGTCATAGGTATCACCTGTGGGGGCGCCTCCTTATGACCATGCGGCCGCTCTGCCACGGTGGGCTTCGGAGCAGCATGACGATGATGGGCCGGTGTCCCGCTCGGCATTTTGCTTGCTGATATCGTAGAAGTCTCCTGCTATGTGGGGCCGATAACGCGTCCGTTGCGGAGATGCATCCCTTATCGAGCGAAGATATCTAGGTGTGAATCATTGAAACATAGTATTTCTACTCCCAAGTCCGGAAAGAACAAAGATTTCATTCCCGGAACACTGGTTGTGCCGTACAAAGCCATCTTCGTCTATAGCAACAGAGCGGTAGACTTCAGTGCACGCAAAAAATACATTTTGAATCTGTAAAAGCACCAGAAAACGCGTATGCTAATCGACTGCAACGCAACAGTTAAAGGCTCAGGAGCTCTTTTGCATTAGCGTGACAACTGCTCAGTTGAAGCACAACCCGCTTACTCTGACGAACACTTCGTGTGCTCTAATGTTCTGACATTCTACTCCACAAACCTGAAGGTCGCTTGCTGGTCTGTTCATTAGAAGACGTGCACAATTGAATTTTTACCTACCCATGTGCAGCTGCGCCCTTTTCTTACTGAAAAAGGAACTGGTGGGCGAGTCCGTTTGTGTTGCGAGTTGGTTTTTGCCACTGGAAATAAACAGGATGAAGGTGCGGAATCACTGCCACTTTGTACACTACTAAAGGGAAGTCCAGAAACATTGCATTTGTTTGACTACCCAGGGCAGCCGCTAAAGTTATTTTGTTCCTCCGGGAATCCCCAGCCAGTTGGAAAGAATCTGTCTCCCTGAAGAAACCAAATCTTTGGGGGATAGTTGTATGCCTGGTAAAGCCGTGGATTCCTCGCAGTGGACATTTTCGCAGACTGGTTATCTGCGAGAGAGCCATACTTTGCGGCTCTTGTGCTAGGTGAATTTCCAAATATTGTTTGTCTAAGCAAGACGAACATTTCCCCACATCACGTAAAACGATGCCATCTGCAAAAAAGTGGAACAACTGATTTGTTGTTTTATTCTATGAAAAACGCTGGAATCGGGGTTTTCGCTCCCGGCTATGGCACTGGCCCAGAGCTCCACAGTGTGTACGGCGAAGGTTTTTTGCACTTTTTTCAAATATGGGCCAATGCCAAACAGCTAAAACCATAATAAGTCTCGCATGCATACTACATACTAAACCCCAAAACAGCACCTGGTGTGAAGGAGCCTTTTGTTGTGTGTACCTATCGCCAGTGACATTGCCAGCCCTTGTGTGTGTTATACGGAGGAATAATAGATCTGGCGCATAGAAGTGAGCCAATGCTGAGCAGTGCGTGAACCGCCGATATTGATATGCTGGGTATCGGCGTTGACTTAGTTCTCGTGCGGAGCAGCGTTGTTGCAAGCGTAAGAACTTCTGCTGCTCCGCTGCTCCATTGCCCTACGTTCTTCCCAAACTTTACCGTGCTGGACACAGTGGTCTCTAGAGCCTCATCAAGGCTTTCGCTATAGCCTTTGCACTGCACTTGACGCCATGAATCCCCCTCATCGTGCTTGTTTCTACAGAATACGGCAACTTTTCGAGTCTACTCGCTGTGTGCCCCAATCGATGGCACGGGCGAAAGCTCTTCCGGACCTATAATGGAGCAGCAAGGAATAGTAAATGCCAGAGTTGAGTTGACCGCATGCCACAGCGTTGAATATGCAGGTCTGTACTTTCAAATGAGTTGAACAGAGTTTCACGAAAGGTACTAGCTCGAAGCGACGGCCTGCAGAGTTAGCTCTCCGCTCCTCACGTACGAACCGGAGGCTAAACCTCCCACAAATGAAGTAACAGGTGATTTGATTTGAACTTACTCCCGAATGAAAATTGTGAGCTTAATATCTAAACTGAAATGAGGGCAGCAGCCCCGTCTAAAGACTACCGCTGCCGCCGCATGCAGAGCGCAACCCCCTCGGCTGTGATGGAGATTCGGATATCTGTAGGTTGTCTCATTCGTTTTTTCTTGTTGTATTCAGCAGGAAATGCGACTAGAATAAAACAGACACATTGAGTTTCTCAGCAGTGGAGGTAACGGCGGCAGCAGCAGCAGCAGCAGCGGAACTGCCTGTACAGGTGGCTTTTGAAAGTTGGCCGTCTCTTCCGGCGGCTCACGTGTGTTCTCTTTGCTTTCTTTGTTTAACATTTACCACAAGCTCTCAGTTGACAGGCCGCAGCGACGAGGCCCACAACAGACCCCTGCTTGGGGAAACGCTGCAGTTGTAGTCTGCGCAGACGGCGTGGCATACAGCAGAAGTAGCGGCAGCAGCCGAAGCAGCAGTAACGGCAATAACACCGACAGAAGATGAGCTATGACAGAGCCATCACCGTCTTCTCCCCCGACGGGCACCTCCTGCAGGTCACACACACTCCATCCAATGTCTTGCACATTGTGTCGGCTGCATCAGTAACAACAAGAGAAGCACCAGCAACAGCGGTAGCATATGCATCTGATAGGCAAACTATGCTACTGTGGTAGCCGCACACCTGGAATCACCGAGAGTGGGCCTTAAGCTGTAGGGCTTATGATTGGGCTGTTTCTCCACAGGTGGAGTACGCCATCGAGGCCGTTAGGCGGGGCGGCTGCGTTGTGGGCGTGAGGGGAAAAGATGCGGTGGTGCTTGCGGTGGAGAGGAAGGCAGCAGCGAAACTGCAAGAGCCCAGGTGCCACTTAGTGTTTGCAGTGTGTGAATTCATCATGTTTGGAGGATGGCCCACTGTCCCCACGTTTCGTGATATTGAGGTCCCAGTGCATATGTTCGCCTGTTTAATTCAAGATTTTGGCTGCTTGCAGGACTAGCCGCAAATTGCTTTTGCTTGACGACGGCCTGTGCTGCGCCTTTGCGGGACTACATGCGGACGCGCGGGTGTTGATAGCGAAGGCGCAGCTGGAGGGTCAGAGCTACCGGCTCAACAATGACACACCACCTACAGCAGACTATATGGCCAGATACATTGCACAAGTGCAGCAGGTAAGTGCTGCGACGATAGATTTTGTGGTTTTAAGTGCTGCTGGTGATAATCCAATTATTGTCACAGTTGCTGTTGCACATGCCATTGCATTAGATGCAGATACTGCTTTTTCAGCAGCAGCATATGTGATCCTTTCCGGTTTTTGGTGCTTCGCTGCCGTTTGTCTTTCGCCGTCGCTCTCTCCCCAAGTTGCTTGGTTGTCTCTTCCTGTCTGTCACGTTACAACACTTGTTCTCTCTTCCTGTCTGTCACGTTACAACACTTTGTGCCTGCCCTCTACTTTGTGCACTCATTTTGCTAACGCTGATGCTGCGAAAGGGGCCAGACTCATTCGGTTAACGCTTGTCTTTACATTGTGTGTGTCTTTCTGTGCCCATGGTTGCTCTTCGTGTCAAATGTAGCTCGTGTCTGTTAGCAATTGCCAGAGTCTTCGTTGCACACGATTTTCCACATGATGCTCTTGAGTTGAATTTCTCAGAAATATACTCATAGAGGCGGTGTGCGGCCGTTTGGGTTATCTACGCTGCTAGCTGGAGTGGACGGGGAGGGCAAGGTGGCTCTCTACCAAACTGAGCCCTCGGGCATATTTGCGCGATGGAAGGCACAAGCCCTCGGCAGGAACTCAAAAGTTAGTTCGTAGCAACTCTCAACGCCATTACTTGTACTTGATGGACTTGTCTCAAGTCCACGTGTGGTGCTGCTATGGTCTAACTAGCCGTGCAGGTTGTAGTGCTGTCTCGCGGTGTGTTTGTTGTCTCCCGTTCACTCGTTTCCAGGTTTTCCCCGTAATTCTGTAGTGCCTGCGTGTTCCACCCGCGCTGCGGTCAGTTTTTCATATGGCATCCTGTGTACTTGCGTGCCTTTCTGATTCGTGCTTCCTTGTGTGCTCCTCCCAGTCTGCGCCTCTTTCATCTCTTCTTCCTGTGCTGGAGTTACTGAAGCAAGTGGCTATTCATGCAAAAAAGAGAGTCGCTGTACTACCCAAGTCTTCGCATTCATTTTGAACTTGGGTTCTCAGTTACGAATTTTGGAGCGGGCGTAGCCGCTAGCTAGTTTCGTGTACCAATGGACAGTAGGATTTCCATCTTGCTGTACATTGTACTTTTGCTGTAGGCGTCTACATCTTCCTGTCAAACTGTGTGTACATGTGTTTGTGCTTCCACTATTTGTCAATTTCAGACAGTGCAGGAGTACTTGGAGAAGAATTACAAAGAAGACCTGAGCGAGGAGGAGGCTTTCTCTTTGGCGATAAGAGCCCTCACTGAAGTTGTGGAAGCCGGCAAGAAGAATGTAGAATGCGCAATTGTGCGCAAGCATGCAGTTGAGTTTCTTCCAGAAGAGAAAATCGCAGCAGAGGTGAGGGATACAGAAAAGTAGCGGAGCAGCAGCTGGCGAAGTAGCCGCTGTGGTGGCGATTGCAAACTGTGGCGGCCGCGACGGCGCAGCCCAGAAAAATGACCGCTTGCATTCGCATAACGGAGTTGCTCTGCAATAGTGGCTTACCTGCGTTCGGCGTGTGCCGTAGGTGGAGCGACTCGAGGCTCAGAAGAAGTCTGCAGAAGAGGAGGTCAAGCCCTCCGACAGCTAAGACGTTGATCCCCCAAAACTCGTACCGTCAGTCTCCGAGGGTTTTTTGCAGCTTCTTGCGTCTCATGGAGATTCATTCTCTGCTTAGTTGCGCGTGTTACGTGCGTGCATGCATTCATATACGCATGCGTACGTGTGTTAATTTATGCATGCACGCATGTTTACACGCAGACACGCACACATGCGTGCATGCATACAAGCACGCACGCATGCGTGTATAGATGTACACGTTGACACACATGAAAACTACTTATGCACACAAGAGGGTGCCCTACGATGCTTGTACTCTTTTTCTGCATGCTTACCGAAGGAGTTAGTCGAAGCCAAACAGTTAGCAATGGGGACGCCATACATCGTTCCCCGTTGTATGTACAGAGTGCAGGTGCGTGCACTTAGTGTACATACATAGCGTAAAACCAGGTGCAGCCTGGCGAATTCAGGTTGGCGATCACTGCCGGCCAAACGTAGAGGAAAGCGGTTACAAGTGACTCTGAGCAAAATATGCATTTATGTTACCCGCATGCACGCATGCATATGCATGCGAATGCACGCATGCGTACATGCGGGTATACGCTCATCGGAGTACATCTGCACTTCTAGATGGACTGCGTCGAATGCATGCACAGATGCGGCAGGCTTTTATCTGTAAGCGCACGTTTTCAAGCAATACGAAAAGAGGAACTGAGCTAAGGGACAGCCACAAGAACAGGACGAAAAGGAAAGGGTTCCGATTCCAACGAATCATAAATCCTCGGCTGCCCCCCGCCGCGAAGTAGAACTGTAGAGAAAGTGCTACCAAGGATCCAGATATTGGGACTGTAGAGACGGTTGTGGCTCGCCACAGGATGCAGTTCGATGCTGTCCGCTGCACTGCGGGGAACGTGCGGAACGCGACAAAACAATGTCCTACAGTTGATGGGCGCCACTGCTGGCAACAGCGCGCGTGTTCAACGTACTTAGCGGAGGCAACGGGTGCGGCGAGAACCGCAAGTGCATACACACCCAAATATCATTCCTCGCCTCCTGAATGCGGTGAACACAGCAAGCCATCCATCCAGGTGGCACCCTTCCAGTCCCAGGAGTGTGCCTCCCTCTAATGGCCGCTTTTCTGCTGGTTTCCTCAGCCTCCCGCACTACCAATAAACTGCTATCATTGCGACCCTAAGCTCAAGTTATACGGGGACGCCGCGGAGAAAGATAAGCGTCGAAGTTCGGGGAACCCGGGCAACTCCCCATATCAAGCGAGGGGCAAAGCTGCTACATCCTCATAACCTACTGGGAAGCACTATGCTTTGCTAGTTTTGTCTGCAGTTGCAGCTTGCACACACATCCTACTGTGAAACGGCAAACAGAAAACTGTGCCCATGACGCAAAGAAAACCTAACGAGGTTCAGTTCTACCGTTGAGTCTGAAAACTTGAAAAAAAACGCTGCGCAGATATGGACTACGCGGCGTAAATACGTTGTCACTCAGCATGCGCCACAAAACTGATGTTACCCATCATGCAACCTCTGCTGAACGCCCAGATGCCCCGAAATGATGACAGGCCTTTTGTGCCCCCAAGGCACCTGATGTGGCCCTACAAAATCTCAAAGCGTGCTTCAGTGGCGGTCCCACGAAGGTCTGCAACATCGACTCGCCTTGAGAAAATCGTCATGGACACCGTGGGGTTCCTTGGAGCTTTAAATTCAAATGGTGTGTTGGCAGGCTCCATCCTCACCACGGTGGGAAAACAGTTTGTCTAAATGTTATGTTGGCATTACTTGCGGCAGTCTGTTCATGTTACTTACGCTCCTCGTACTCTCTTTCGTTGCATTATTCGTCAATTGCTATTTTTTCAAAGGCTGCTTTGCTGGAACCAGGAGGATGGGAATGCGATGGCGGCAGCTGCAGAGAGCCTATCGAGTATGTGCTCTGCAGTCATTGACCTGCCGTGGTGCTTATAGGCAAGAAAAGCAGCTTGGCGAGTAATAAGGCTAGCAGCATGCATTAGAAAGAGGTAAGGAGCCGAAGGCCTTCCGCCAAAAGGAACAACAAGGCCTAATTTCGCCGTCTCCTCCTCAACCTGTTTCAGCTCCAGTGCCCTTCCCCTTTCACTCCACACCAGCGCCTCCGCCAAAACTCCGCAAAGCACGTCACCTTGGCCTCCAGACCGTTTAGGGGACCCAAAATAACGAGGGTCAAGTCCTGCGACTGCCATGTAGACTCTTTGGCAGCCTTCCAAGTCCTCCTTAGCATCAAACGCGCCCAGGAGATCAACCCTGCCCTTAGCAAACACGCAGGGGCCCCGTAGCAGCGCCACAGTTTCGGCTAAATGTTGCGTCACGCCCTCAGCCTCCAAAGATGCAGGAAGTAAACCATGTGCTGCGTAGCTGTTCCACCCCGTAGGACCATGCTGCTCCCCATCCCCAGCCGCTTGGCGTCTCCGTAGAGCCCGCAACAGCTGTTCCAGCTCGTGGCCATTTGGGGTTAAAACTGCCTGGTCGTAGCCTTCCAACAGAGAAAGGTAGTGTTCATGGCCAGGTATCGATAGGATGCGGAGCATATCTGCGTCCAGTACCTGAAAAAAGCAATAATCACAATGCCAAATAAACTACATCACTGCAAATCAAGAAACTGGCACGAAGGGATGACTTTACTGCTGTTCGAGCAGCATAGTACCGCAGTTACGCCTGCTGCTGGTGCTGCTAGCGCGTGACGCTAGCTTACAAGAGGCTTTTTCATTTGCATACAGAGTCTTAACAGAAAAATCGCTGCTTTCTGAGTGACAGCCGCAGCAGCTTCAGCCTCCAAAATTGCCTGTTTCGTAATAGCGTGGTCTATTGTGGCGGGATTTGTTCGGTCTGTTGTGGTAGCTGCTGCTTTGTGATCCGCTCCAACACTTGACGAAGAAGAGCCTCGAACCACTTTATGAACATCATCAATCGCCTCTCTAAGGAAATGGGAAAGCCGGCCACCACTCCCAGATTTATCTAGTGACTTTTGCTTGTGCTGCTGCTCTTGTTGTTCCTGTTGCTTTCCCTGACGAGGATGGTGTTGCTGCTGCGCTTGCTGTTGCTTTGTATCGTGCTCTTCGTGAAAACGGTAATTGCTGCTACCTCCTAGTCCAGGCCCTATAACAACAACGTCCACCTTACGAAGAAGTGGCTCCGCCTAAAACACAGCGGCACATCCGCAAGAGCTGCTGCTGCTATTGCTGACGATAAAAAACGGCGGTGCTGCTGCATGAGATGTGGCTGAAAGCTGTTCACGGCAGCAGCTGCAGAAGCAGCAAGCACAGCAGCAGCTACTGCAGCACACGCTGCACGGGACCGCAGAAGCGGCTAACATGAACTTTGAGCCTGGCCAGCTCTAGCTGGTAGTCGAATTGGGGATCCTGCTCATTGGGTTTTCCGCGCTCAGCTCCGTAGCGACAAGGCAGGATCTGCAGTATCACCACCAGTAAAATCATTCACAACAGAAGCACTAGCGCCGCAAGTTCCGGAAGCTGTTTCAAGTCAATTATGGACTGCTTCTAGACTAGCAACAACACGGGAAAAGGCAAAGCTGCGCAAGTTATGATGTCAAATTATGATGGTCCAGAAACCAAAACGGCAACTCCGTGGAGAGGAGGCATCTGTAGATGCTGCAACATCGAACATTAGTTAAACCAGAACTACGTACAGGATAGACAAGGAGCTCTGGGCTGTAAGCCTTGATGGCCATAGCTGCACTGGGAGTTGTTATAACGGTAGCGAGGTCCGCCCCCTGCGAAACAAAAGTCCAAACGTCTTGAGACATAAACACTAGACCCTGAGTCGTTATGTCACCTCACACCGTATATTTCCTGCAATGTGACAGCTCGCGGGCAGCAACGCGGTAGCTGCAGCTGCCCCTTGAGAAAAACGAAGTAACCCGCCGGGTCCTCCGAAGTACATCGAGGCCCCACAAGTTTCTGGATTTCAGCCCATCCCGCTTGTCTATGACCTTGTAGGTGTATTAAAAGTTTCCTCGTTCTGCAGCTCTATGCGTCCGAACGACACCATCTCGGGCTCTTGAAGCCCCTTTGATCCTTTGGATGTCTGTTCATTCTCTAGAATAAGGATCTACTACGCAACCTCTATTCCTTGGTAACACTCTGGTGCATTAAAAGACCCGTTGTTTTAAAAAGTCCCATCGGCAAAAACGTACCATGCGAAGAGCCGCAGAAGCGGCGAAGTACGGCGCTCCAGTAAACATGGCAGATCCGCCAATGACGCAAACTTTTCCTACGGGCACAGCAGCGAGAACAGCAACAGCAACACCATAGCATCCAGATGAAAACGCAATAAGTGGAGCGACTTTTTCTTAATCCGTTACGCAAGAGGTTCACATACAGCACGCACTCAATTCGCCCAAACAACCGCTGTTCCTCCAGGGCCAGCAACATTCGAAGTTGCGAAAATAAGCAAACAACCGAACTGTCCATCGAGGCAGCATAAACTCAAGCAGAACTCCGAGTCCTCCACAATCATCTTTAAACTCTGTACTCTTACCATATCTGCCCTTGTGCTCTTTAAAATCAAGGGGGGGGAGTAGTGCCCTCTCGACAACTGCGCAGCAAAACACGAACCTTAACTTAAGATCTTTATTCTGGATGTTGGCCTGAAACCAGACCCATTCAGTGCCTCGTGCCACAGCTGTAGTACAAGTTCGCTGTGACTACACTGTCGCGGCTCGCTGCCACGACTGGAGCAGCGAGGGCTGCAGCTTTTGCTGCTGTTGGCTCCGCTGCACGCAATGTACCTTTCAGCCACCCATCTGTGGCCTTCTGTGCCACGTCTACTTCCTCCTTTGTAAGAACCAGCAGGCTGGCCATCTTGCTATGAGGCTGCAGAGTGCTGCTCATGCTGGCGCTGCTCTGCTCTGGGGCGAGTTGCGAAGAAGACTCCGGTTTTATCCTCCTTGGTGCCGCTTCGTCTGCCAGTGATGCTCGATATTCGCCGTAATTGTTGCAAGTGTGTAACAAGTAGGTGTTCAAGAGCTGCTGCTGTCGCTGCAGCCGCAGCAAACAAGGGGTTGCTCTAATGGTTACAGAGAGGTTGGAGCAGTGAGGGCGCCACAGGCCACGGAGGCAACCAAACATCGCAAAATACGATATGTCAGCAGCAGGAGTCTCGCATACCAGAGTAGCAGCCCAAGTTCGGCAGCCAGTGTCTTTGGTTTCGCTGCCGCAGCTTTTCCTACTGCTGCTTCTCCAGTCGAGGCATGAAGAGGCACACGGGCGGCCTGATTCGAACACACACAAAGTGGAGCGAAAAAGGGGAAAAAGTCAGCTCTGCACTACAGATAAGCAACAGCTCCAACGACGCCAGTAGAAGGGAACCAACAAAGCGCATGCTCACACACGCCATGCCCCCGCCGCATTTTACTGCTTCCATACCTGAGTGCTCTACGGGAGGTTTAAGAAATTTTTTCTGCCGTTATTGTAGCTCTGATGTCATTGGGTCCCAATAAACTGAGACACAGCTGCAACAGGGGCTACGGCAACAATAACGGCAACGGCAGTGGCAGCGGTGGGGTCGTTAGGCTGCAGTTTGCTGCTGAGGCAGTAACTATGGCAGGTTTTATTTTTCACAGCAAAGTAAGTCTAAAAACACATTTATCATTTTATTCCTTTTTAGTTTCATCCGATATTTTTCTTCTTGAAGCCCTTGGCCGTTGTCGCTGCTACGCCACCGCAGCAGAGTCCAATGGTGCAGCAGCAGCAAAGCACCAGCAGCAGGAGCAGGAGCAACAGCTCTTTGTCGCTTCAGCAGAACAGCTAGGTGCCAGTGTCATGTGTTTGCCTTTATAACTTGCCGCTCCATCTATTTGTAACGGCGGCGACGGCTGCAGCAGCAGCAACAGCAGCAGCGGCCAAGTTCTGGTCCTCGGGAGAGTCTGTCACATACTGTCCTTCACTTATAGTGCCTGTGTAGATTTCTCCAAAGTTTTTGCACTTGCAGGGATATAACAAGCAACAGCAGCAGCGAAACAATGGTCGCCACGGCAGAAGAAGACAGCCATACTCAGGGGAAGTTCCCCATAGTGAAGGCAGCAGTGACCTTCTTGGGGTTCAACAGCGACTCCTCTTGTCTTTGTGTCGGCACCACAGCAGGATTCCTGGTGTGGAGTGTACGACCCCTTAGGTGTATGTACACATGCGTTTGTGGTCCGGTGACCATTGTCGAAATGCTGCTGAGCACGAGCCTTGTTGCAGCTGTCGGTACGCGGCTGCTGATGCTGCTGCTCAGTGGCTTTGCTGTCCTAGTTGATGCAGCTACTGAGGCAGTTTCTACGTTTTAGGTTACAGGCCCAGAGGCCCCAGTGCCTGGACCTACAACATGGCATCTACGAGCAGAACAAGGAACATGCTTAGCGCACGAACCTCTGTTGTGCTTGCTATTCAGGAAGTGGAATGAGCAGCAGCAGCAGCCGCCGCATGCTTCGACTGTATAACTGTAAACCCTCAGTTACTGCTTCCAGCAGCGCGAGCAGCAATGATAGCCCCAGCAGCAATAACAGCAGTTTGATCGCTTGCGTGGTGCAACCCTACGCAATCTGCGGCGTTAAGATAACCCCCGCGAGATTGGTAGTTCTAAATGAAAAGCACATATCCATATTTGTATTGCAGTCTCTGACTCTGCTGCGCACACTGGAGAGGCATCCCTTGCTGCCGCAGCAGCCGCGGGGATTTTTTGTTTCGGCTGGCACTGCTGCAGTGGCTGCAGTTGCTGCAGCCGCTGCTGGAGGAACGGACGCCCTGCCACCAGACTCCTGGGTCGGTGAAACAGCTGCATCAGACGGAAAGGCACATGCTGCTGCAGCTGCGGCCGACGCTACGCAGGCAGTAATGGCCGTGGGTTGGAGCCCTCAGCATAGTTACCTCGCCCTTCCCGCAGGACCACAGTAAGCACTGCATAGTGCGACTTCTGTGGGTCCCCACACGGCTTATTTTGTGTTCGTGAGGACTCTTTCTCCTTCGTTTTGTGCTGCCGGTGGCACTGCTGGCATAGCGTCCACGCGCAGTTCTACGGGGATGAAGGGGAGCCACTGAAGGCAATGACGCATAAATACTGAGAGACACACAAAGACAGAAAGGCAACAGTGTATTAAAAAAGGATACGGAGGCACGATAGTAGGGACAACCAGAAGAAGGAAACAGATATCACACATCAACGGGAGTCGTAATGTTGCAACTCCACGGCAACAGCTCGTTGTGTTGTCCGCCGAACTACCCCTCTTCTTTCTGGTTTTCTTCTTTGCCAACTCGTGTATCTTCCAATAGTTTGCCTGGTGCTGTCCTGTATTGCTGTTTCGCCTGCACTGTTAGTCCTCGCGTCCTGGCGTTGCTTCCTTGACTCACGGCGGTGTCTCTTCAGCTTCCTGCTACACAATGTGTTGCGTGACTGTTTTTTGCTTTGTAGGGGAGGAAGTGCTGGCGTCCTTTGCCTTTTCGACCTTTTGAACGCGCGGTTCGCTGCCTGGAGATGCACACATGAGGCTCCATTGAGGTCTATTGCGTTTTCTGCGTCGGCTTCACTTGTTGCTGCTATCTCTTCTAAGGTCGGCGCAAAGTGTCGGACTGCCGCTGCTGCTGGTGCTTTCATTGATGCTGCCAATAGTGCTACTGACGAGTCCTAGTCCACTTGCTGCATCAGCTGGTAGAACTTACGCTCACGCATTGTATCCTGCAACTGCTGCTCATTTTGCTGTGCTTGCGCCCCTTACTATCAACAACTGTAACAACGGAGGACAATGATGCTGTCCTTACGATCTACTGAAAGGGAATATTTTGCGTGCACTTAGGTGCCGTTGCAGGCCGAGTGGTCGCAGCGCATGAGCACATGGACACGGGACAGGGGCAGCAGTGAGACCCCTAGCGGAGAGAGGGCGCTACTGCTGCTGTTGCTGCTGATGTTGCAGTTGTTGCAACTCAGCAGTATTGTGTGGGGCCTGTGCATTCCTTCAGGGCTCCGTTGTCCGCATTCTCTCAGTTCCTTCCTTGGAACTTCTGCTGTCTCTGCACCTGCACCATCCCCAGATGCTGTTACAGGGGACGAAGCACCTCTCGATGCACGCGGCTGACCCGAGAAGCAGCAGCAGCAGCAGCACTAGTCAATCTTCACAAGCGCCAACTGCCGCGGCTGCTTCTGAGCTGCCCAGCAAAGGTAAAGGTCAGCGGAAGAAGGCAGAAAAGCTTGAAGAAACAGATGCAGAAGCAGTATTGACATCAGGAGCAACGGAAGCACCAGCAGGAGCTCCGCAGCAACAGCAGCAGCAAACCAAACAGGCAAAAGGCAAGAAACAAAAGCAGAAAAAGGCAGGATGCGTAGGGAGCACCACTCAAAGTTCAAGTGAAGGCACTGCTGGCGTGGCGCCAGATATTGTGGAGTCTGCAGCAACACCTACAGCCTCTGCTGTTGGTGCCTCTGCTTCACCTGGTTCTTTTGGCTCCGTTGCCAAAGATGGTGTACGCAACGTGGATTATGCAGCAAGCAGCATCAGCATCCGAGCGTCAGCAAAGGGAAGGACGTCTAAGCAGAAACAGAGGCAGCTGCAGCAGCAACAGCAACAGGAACAGCCACCAACGAATCCGCCTAGTTTGCCGAATGTCAGTGAGCAGTCGCTGCATCCCAGTGTGGCTAGCAACAGCAACAGCAGCAACTCTTGCGCGGAAGAGCGCACCACAAAGGTTTCGAGCGAGACTACGAGCACTGCCGGACGCTGTTCCTTGGACCATGGCAGCAAACCATCTCGCAGCTGCAGAACTGAGAGCCCCAGCCGTTGCAAGAAAGAAGAGGGCCAAGGTGATAGTGCTGAGGGGATCAGCAGTAAAAGCGGTGCTGCTGATGACCATTGTAGCAAAGCTCGCACCAGCAGCAAGAAGAGTAAACACACGAAGAAGAACACGATGGAAGAATCCACAGTATCGAAGGCGACCAGAGGCAAGGTAGATGGGGTAGCGACAAGAGCTGAAGCTTCCACAGCAACACCAGAAGCAGCAGAAACAGTCGTGGCACCGGGCCCGGCTACAACAGCCTCAGCAGCTGCTGACACACGGAAGCTGTCTTCTAAGCGGCAGCAGAAAAAGGAGCAAAGAGAGCTGAAGGAAGCAAAGCTGCAGCAGAGGCAGCAGGCTACTGCTGCACAATCAGCTAATAATATGGAGCAAGAAACACATCAGCAAGAAAGCATTGAGCTAGCCGAAAGCAAGAGACAACAGAGAAATCAGGAAGTAGGGCAACAACACCAGCAGCAAGAAGAAAACAAAGATCTCGCTCACACAGAAAATGTTTCAATTGCTGAAGATGCAGTTGCGGAAACAGCTGAAGATACTTCTCAAGATCTTCCATCTCAACAGCAGCAGACTCTACTGCTGCCTGTAGCAGCTCTACATCTCAGAAAATTAGCTTCTCATTCGTCTTGCTCACTTAAAAAGGGGGCAGTCGAAGCTTCAGGAATCAGGCGTGCTGGCAGCGTGTCGCTTGGGCCAAAGGAAATTCTGGAACCCAGAGACAGCCGCTCCGCTCCGGGGCATGTGCCCACTGCTGTGGCTGATGTAGGTGATCACAATGGCCACGAGCTATGTGATGTTGAAGCCGCACCATCGGGAAAAGCAACATCAGCCGAAGCGGAGGCAGAAAAAGCGGAAGGCAGTGCGACAACTGCTGCAGGCCGCGACACAGACGAGGATGGATGGGTATTGTGTGGAACCCCTGGGCTTTCCGCGCCTGGGGCCAGCAGACAAGGGTCTGGGGAGTATCAGCGGCAACGAGAAGAAGACGAAAGAAACAACAGCGGCGACAGTTCAAAACTATCTGCAGATTGGAATCACGTGGAGACACCGGGAGCTTTCACTCCTTCAGGCTGCAGCAGTCCGTATAGCCGGAGCAGCAGCAACAGCTACAGCAGCCGAGCAGCTGCAGAAGCAGCTCCCTCGCTTTTTAGCCAGAACCCACCAGCAGCAGGAACATCCAATGTAGCATCAGCAGCAGCAGCATTTGTAGATAATGAAGTGCCCGAGCCTCTCGACGGTAGCTCGGTGGATAGACACAACATGCAGATGATTGCCGAGTCACTGGAAAAGTTTTGTGGAACGACCGAGGGTGCTAAGCACAACAGCAGCCAGCAGCAGCAGCAAATGCTTCTACCGCCGCCAACTTGGCTTACTACTTCTGAAAACTATCCCGGTGAAACCACTATGAAGGACCAAAGCTCTTCAGGCACGCAGCAGCAGCGGCAGCACCAAGACCAAGATGCAACGGGCGACTATCGACAGCAGTGCTGTATTGTCTTAACAGGGGAAGCTGCATGCGGCGCATTACAGAAAGGAGCTGGCGACCTCCGCAGATTCTCTCTTGCCTTCTCAGGCTGCAGCCGTATCTTTACAGTTTCGAGTGGGGGGCTGTCACTGCTGCTACTGCTATTGCTATCGTTGCTGCTGCTTCTGCTTTTGCCAATAATTCTGCCACATATTGAGCTGCTAAGGCACTGTCGCGATGACTGTAACGTATGCTTTGCAGCTGCCGCATTGTTGTTTCTTCTTTTACAGAGGGTGATGGTTTGGTCTTCGTATTCGTCTTGCCCTGGTCGCCAGAAGAAATGCAGAAACACTCGAAGTGTGGGGTGGCCGTGCAGCAGCAGTTATTGCGAACCCTTATGCACAGCCCAACTGGAGGCAGCAGTGGAAGCACTGCCCCTGTAGCTCCAGCGGACGCAGCTGTCACTGCTGCAGCAGCCCCAGCCGCAGCACCTGCCACTGCCATTCCGACGCCACCCGTACGTGGTGCTGGCAGCAACAGCAGCAAGCTATCAAGCATTACTGGGGCTGCTGCTGTACGGTGATACCCCTTCCCTGCGTGCTGCTGCTCTGCTCTTATGTATTCCCTTGTTGCCTCTAACGAGCTACTGTTTGTACTGTGCTGTTGAAGCCTTTTCGCCACTACTACTGCTGATTTTGCTTTTCGGTTACACAGTGTAGCGTTGCTTGTAGTTGCTGTTGCACGCAGTCTGCTTTGGCTTCAGTCACGTCTATGCTTCTCCCGGCCTCCATCAGTGAGCGTCTGCTGCATGCGCGGAGCTGCGACTGCTGCATATCTCTTCCATCGACTGCCGAGGGGTGGTAAGTGGCTGTAATAACTGCAGCACTAGAGCCAACTGTAGTTGTACGCGCAGTTTTGAACTCATCAGCCAGGTCTAGCTATTATTTACTCATTTCGCTTTGCTTTCTTTCCCTAGTTTCTTCATCAACGTCGTTTCTCTCGTTGAATCATTTCATCATTTCGTATGCTTCTGGTGTGCCTATGGATTCACCAGCCCTTACCAATCCTTGCATTTCCGGAAACTCTCCGTTCCATTTTCTATCCAGTTCTAGACTTTGCCCTCCCATTCATGTGTATTTGTGTGTATCTTTCTTATATGGCCGTGTCGCCGTCGTGGCCTTTTTTTGCTTTCTGCCGCTGTCTTGGTACGGTTATGCTTAGCCTGTGTTTTTTTTCGGTTTGTGAAGGCTGACCGCTGACTGCAGAGCCCATGTAAAGATCTTTGTTTGCTGGTATCCCTGCTCTTACGAATGATGCTGTAGTCGGTATTGGTGCTTCTGCGTCTCAGTGTCGCGTGCGTAGCCCCTTCTGGCCTACTTCCCGGCGATGAATTTGAAGTGAGGTCCCGAGAGATCATACGGTGACAGTGGGAGCTGCGCAAGCTCTAGTAGCAGCGGAGCATGGACTGCACAGGATTAGAAACAGTGAACATTTGATAAAAACATAGCTGCAAAAGAAACTCCAACCAAAGCCCGGCAACAGCAGTATCAGCAGCAGTTGCCTGTGCAGGGCATATCTGTCGATTGCATTACGATATAGTGTTGCTGCTGTTGCAACCATTTGTGGCGTTCTTGCGGGTACTTTCTTTGGCTTGTAATCACTGTGATTCCTTCTACAAACTTGTACGCAGTTTGCCTGTATGCATCTATCTCTCATTCTGTTTGCTCTTGTTTCTGTTTGTTTTTGTGGCTGTTTCGTGTTCTTGCTCCTCCACAGGTTGTAGTGGGACTCGACACCGGCTTTGCTTACACTTATAGCTGCCAGCTAAATCCGTCGTGCAGATACCGGTGAGTCGGGCTGCTGCTTCATGTGCACCACCGGTTGATGCAACGTCAGCAGAAGTAGAAACAGGGAAACCTACACTGCTAGCAAAGGCAAGAGGGCGGTGCCTGAGTGACACTCATGTTTCAAGAGAATTGCTGGATATATGAAGCGTTACTGCTGCTTTTTTCCTATTTGCTGGTGGGGTTGCTGCTGCTGTTGCATCAGATTGCGGGACGAGCAGATACTGGAAACCCAGCGAGGCGACACCTGAGTACACGGGGTGTGTTAGAGCTATTCAGCAGCTGTTAGGAATATGTATGCCATGCACCACAGATGCAGTGTGTAGAAAGCCACGCAGGTGACTTTGGCTGTTGCCTTTGCTCGCCGTGTGCAGTAACAGCAACAGTAGCAGCAGGTATGCTGCATCAGCAGCAGTAAAATCAGACTTTTTTGTGAGCCTTTTACGCTGTCTTTGCTCTGCGTGAGCGCTAGTGGCAGCGCTATCGCATGAGGCACCTGCAACAAAGAGCGGGAGTTAAGTAAACATGCTGCTGCTGCCCCGAGAGCTTCAGCTGTTGCAGCAAGCCCAGGACTGATGTTTATCCGTGGCGTCGTTGCGTTACTACCGTAGTTTCCTCTAGCTGTTTCCACTTCAATTTTAGTTATTCCGCGGTAGTTTTAGGCATCACCGAAGCACTTTCCGCTTAACAGCCCCAGAAGCGGCCTGCACAGTAGTGTCGTACCTGCGAGAGGGGTATGCCCTTCAAATGCAATGCGCCGATTAATACTTTCTAGGTTGTAACGAGAACAATGGCCACTTCAGCAACAGCTACTCATGCGGCGAAGCCTTGAAGAGCTCACGCAGCTGCTCCAATGGGAATGTGAGGCACATCGGCGTGTAAATAACTGCCCGTCCGTTAGGTAAACCTCCGCAGGTCTCGAAAAACAGTTGATCTAGGACTTCCACATGCCAGCTCCGATGCTGCCCAGCATTGGTACATGCCGCTGTTCTGCTGCTACTTTAATGTATTCAGTGATACACCATCACCTTCGGCTCAATCCGCCCGACGCGGCAATGCTGGATTCCTCCGTTTCTAAGTATTCTTGGAGTGCCGCCCGTCCGCATGGTTGATAATTTGCCCCCCAGTAAACCGATGAAGCAGCGCCGTTGACACTAGCTTACACTTCAGTAGCACCAGTATGGCACGATTGCAGAGGTCTGTGGCCACAGCGTAGCTCCAGAGATGCTCAAGAAGCAAGGGAGAGCAACAGCGAGCAGCGTTGCTCCTGCTGCAGTACGAACTAGAGCAAATACTTCCCCACAAGTACCGGCAGCACCGACTACGGCAGCAGCATGACGACAAGACAAAACTGGTCTCGAAAGGCAGAAAGAGACGTTAGGGACATAAATGAACAAACAACTCGTTGCCACCTGCTATATTTCTACTGCAAAGATGTAGCAGCAGCTGAAGCTGCTGCTGTTACAGCCCCACTGTTTAGAGGCCGCAACCAGCAGGTAACGCCTGCCGCAGCAAGACACAAATACGCCTGCCGCAACAGAATCTGCGCAAAAGAAAAACTCAAGCAAGCGACGTCGACTTGAGGCCCCCATGTAGCTCCATGCTAGCTTCACACTGGAACGAGAGCATAACTACTTCAGTGTGCATGCGTCTGCTGCTGCTGCTCTCGGCACTCGCTGTGGCGAGCCCTGAAGGGCAGATGCAGCAGCTGTTGCTGCAGCCGCCGCAGCTCTTGTCGATACAGATCGTAGCGAACGAAGAACCGGTCGTTGCTGAATGCTGCTGCTGCCGCTGCTACTGTTGTTGCTGTTGTTGTAAATACCGCTGGTATGCCTGTGCTTCTGCGCAGCAGCAGCAGCAACAGCCGCAAGAGACGACGTGCCTTCTTTTTCTTCTTGCACAGGCTGCCTCTTTCCTGAGGCTCGCTGTTGCTGCTGCTGCGGTTGCTGCGGTGAAGAGAGGTTGTTGCTGGAGCTGCTGCGCGTCGCTGCAGCTGCAGAAGACCTGGGTCTGAGCGACATGTACGTAGTGGAAGCAGCAGATCTCGGTGTACTGACAGGGGTCTCGTGAGCAGCAGACAGTGAGGAAAAGCTACTGTTGCTGCTGTTACTGCTACATCGTTTGCTGGCAGCTGCGGTAGCTACCTTCCTTCGTCCCCTTCGCGCGACGATGCTACCGCAGCTGCTATTTGCATTGTCGTAGTTGCGGCTGTTTCTACCCGCTGACACGGGCGCAGTTAAAACTAATTGACCTTCGGTGTAGTGGCCTTCTTGTTGGCGGGTGCTGCTCTGCAGCAATCGGGCGCTTGTTGTACCTGCTGCACCTCCAGTGTAAGAAGCTCTACAGTTGCCGCTGTTGCTGCTGCTGCCATTGCAGCTGCGGCGTCGCACTGCTGTGCTGGTGCTGCACTCTTCCATCTCACTGTTCGAATCGCTTGAAGCTGAATCCGCGAGGCGGCGCCTTCCATTTTGGAGCTGTTGCTGTCCTTGCTGCTGCTGTTGTTGCCGTGCCTCACGGCATCGAAGCAGCATTGTTCCCCGAGCTTTCCCTGTGTCTGTCCCTGTACAAATTCGCGGTGACGATGCAGTTGCCGCCTGCGAGGCAGCAGACGCTGTATCAGCTGCCTCTGTTTTAGGTAGCCGTTGCTTATGAAGGCTGTTGCTGTGGCCGCTGCACGAGTTGTCAACGGGAGCCGCAGGCACCGCCGAGGACTCCACAGCTGTTGCTGACGCCGCAGCAGCAGCTGCTGCCGCCGCAGCAGCTGCTGCTGCTGCCCTCGTTGTTGCTGCTCCTGATCGGCCACACCCACTGATGCTGCGGCTGCTGTTAGCTTGGTTCGCCGAAGCAGCTTCTGCAGTGGCCCCCGCAGCACCTGTGGTGGTTGCCGCATCACTGAGCCGACTGCCTGCAGCATCAGCACCCGAGCCTACCGGAAGGGCAACAACTGCCGAGCGGGGCCCCTCTTCCGCCGTTTCCAATTCTCCTTTCTCCGTTGCACGCGGACGTAAACCCCGCCGACGCACTGCGGCAACTGTGCCTGCTACAGCCCCTGCTGTCGTTGTTCCAACAGTTGGTGCTGCTGTTGCTGCTGTTGCTGCATTTTCGGGCGAGCGATGCCCGTCTATCGAGGATTCTTGTTCGTCCTCGCCTGCTGCTGCTGCTGCAACTCCAGCAGCGGCAGCGCGACACGGCTGATCAGAGCTCGATTGGGCAGAACCACAGCATTCAGCAGCAGGCGCTGCTGGGCTTGCCAACATTACCCGAGAACGCTTTTCTTTGTCAGAACGAGTCAAGTTCAGCGCAGTCTCTGTGTCCTGATGCTGCTTCGGCTGCTGCTGCTGTTGTTGCTGGGGACCATGCTGCTGCTGCTGCTGCTGCTGCTTCTCTCTGCTCCTAGGCCCAATGACAGGAGACGAAGGCGTGGAAGTCACAGAATCGCATTCCTGGTCCTGTTGCTGCTGCTGGTCCTGGGCCTTTGTATGCGAAAGGTGATGCGGCAGCAGCAGTTGCTGCTGATGCCGCAGGAGTGCAGGCGGCCTCAGCTCGAAACAGCAAACCTCTGGCTTGACTTTCCCGTGCTTCAATAGCGCGGCTACTTCGGTAGGCAGCGGATGTCGTACTTGCTGCTGTACCGAGTCCCAAAGCTCCTGAGGCATTAATAAAGACAGAAGCAGCCGCAAATGAATCAGAGCCCTGAGGTGAACAGTCATATCGCAGCAGAAGCGCGAGAAATACCAGCAGCAAACGCAACAGAAACAATGGCAGCAGCAAACCTGAAGGCACGCTCGTCTCTGATGAGGCGTGGAGACAAGCAGCTTCGACCAGACAGCCAAACGCTTCGCCGGTTCGTCTGCAGCGCAGCACAGCACCCTTCTCGCGCAGCTGCAGCGGCAGCAACAGCACGAAAGCAAGACACTAGTGCCATGTCCGAAAACAAAATCCATTTCATGAAGCCCCAGCAGCGCGTAACATCGTGACCTGTCAAAAAGTATGGCCACTAGCAAGCCTTAGCAGCTGCTTATCCGCGGGACTTACAACCGAAGAGATTGACTGAAAATGTCCGGCTAAAACGGCGACCAGCAGAGGCAGTCCACCGACAGCGCCACTGCGGCTGTCGCCGCTCATCGAGCCACACGCAGTGCAGTGGCCTTCTGCTGTCCAAACGAGCTCCCGCTTCTGCATCAGCAACAGTAAAGGCACAAGCGCATGCAGAAGACGCTTCCTCACCATCACCACCAGAAAACCTAACACTTGCACGCATGAGCGGCTCCCCTTGATCGTCCAGATACAGAAATGAAGCCATGCAGAACTCACAACGGTGCTGCTGCCTAAGCTGCTAGTGCTTCTGAATTACCTGTATGCGCCTGGGGGCTCGGCTTAAAGTGCCTGCTCAGCAGCACTGCAGCATCCACTAAGGCTTCCAGTTGCGGCAGCTCGCCATATCCAGGTGGCAGCAGGCCCCTGCCCGCGTCGCATAATCCCGACATTGCGCGGCATGAGCCACTGCTGCTGCTTGTGACGTTGTTTCTGCTGCTGTTGTCATGCTCTTCATGTCTTTCCTTCGAAGCAGACGCCTTTACAGAAGCAGCAGCAGCATCAGAGGTGGCAGTCACAGCTGTGTTCCTAGAGCCTTCCTGCTGCTTTGTAGCCTCTGCTGGTTGCGCAGCTGCAGCTGTCGGTGCAGCGTTTTGCTGCTGTTGCTGCGGCTGCTGCTGCTGCGGCAGTAAAGGCCAAAAGGGAAGCCGCAATTGTGGCCGCTGTAACCAAAAAGCCGCCACTCCCTGCTGCTGCTGCTGCTGTAGCAGCGCTTGGTGTGCTGCTACCGGAGCTACGCCCTGCGGCGTTAAATGCTGCTGCTGCAGCCTCTGCAGGAGCTGTTGCTGCCAAAGCTGATGCCATTGCTGCATGCGCTGCTGCTGCAGCAGCTGCGGGTGGAGTTGCGCGTCCGTTGTAGCTGTACCACCCAAAAGCAAAGACAAAAGCCGCATTTATGAGCTCAAATCAGCCTGCTGGCGGGCTAGCCAGCTGCTAGATAATTAGCCGTAGGATTTGCAAGCGTGCCCTAATACAAGGGGAAAAGTCTTACCAACCGCCGTTCCCGCACCTAACGAATTGCCTCCTACTGTCGCTGCAGAACGCTGCTGCTGCTGTTCCTGTCGCCGGCGCATGAGATACTGGAGGACTAGATGCTGCTGTTGAGCGGACACTAGCTGCTGCTGAGCAGCAAACGTAAACTGTTGCTGCGACACAAATGGCTGCAACTGCTGCTGAGACTCTACTTTGTTGCTATTGCTGCTGCTGCTACTGCTGGTAGCCGCTGAGCGCAATCCGTCAGACTTGACACCTGCAGGAACAGCTGCATGCTGCGACTTGCTGCCACCACTGTTGCTGCTGCTGCAGGCAAGCTGCTGCCGGGTAGCCGGTGGGCTAGGTGGATGCTTCGTAGCCGCAGCAGCATCCGAAGCAGCGGTGGGTTCTGAGCCTGCCGCTGCAGCGAACGCTCTTGACTCAGCGTACGGGGACAGCAAGTAAACAAAACGCCGAGCCGCCAGGAGCTGCCGCGTCAGCCCCACATCCATCAGCTGGCTGCGCTGCAGCTTGTGTGTCTGCACGAAAATCTGCATCAAGTACCAGCTTGAAGACTGAAGCAAACACAGCAACAACGAAGCAATGACAACTGCAGCAATAGCAACAAAGGAAGCACAGGTAATAATATCACCAACAGAGCCCTTGCAGCGGCTGGTGCCTCCAACGCAGCCTTGTCAGGCTTAATCAAAAAACGGCGCAGTTGCAGCCGCGGCGCACATAAGCACACTAACCCGCGGAACAGCACCACGAGCATATTGGCAGCAACACAAATCCCTTACAAATGGTTCTGCCTCTGGCATTGCCTCAACATCGTCAAGAGTACAGACAGCGTACTCCTCCCCTAAAGGGACCATACACCCAGACAAGAACGCATTGCGCAGCAGCAGGCGGCCCTCCTTGTTAATTTCCTTCTCAGCCCAAATTCGATTCATGCTGCTGAGAACACAGCCGCCATTGCTGCTCATGCTGCTGCTGCGAGGGCCGCCACACCATGAGCTGCCAGCGCCCTCCGCAGCAACAGCAGCAGCTTTCCGCTTCCTGCTCGTGCGCATTAGCTGCTGCTGTTGCTTTGAGCCGCCGCCCGAAGAAGCCAGCAATCCCTGCAAGAAGTCACCAACACGATATCCTGCTGTTGCTGCTGTGGCCGTTGCCCCCTCTTCACCTTCACAGCCAGGCGGCTGCTCCACCCGCGGAATGACCCCACAAAGTTTCATCGAGCGAGACAGGGGAGTTCTGTGACTTTTTGAGCCGATTTGGCTGCTGAAAGCACCAACTGGAGATTTTGACGCTGGGTTGGCTGGTGCAGCTAAGGCATGCCCCGCAGAGTCCGCCCCTTGCGATGCTCGCGGACCGTCTATTAGCTTCGCCACAACTTCTGCTTTTGCAGGCGTTGAGGTGCAGCTCTTGCTGCTGCTCTCTGCAGCAGGCACAGTCCCGGCGCCTTCAGGGTCCTTAAGCCGCGGAGGAAGCTGCCTCTTGGGACGGTCGGGCCGTTCTTGCTGCTGCTGCTGCTGCTGCAGCGACCTGCGGGACCGCAGCAGAGGCAGTCTCTGCTCCACGTCATGGAAGTGCGACTTCTGCGGTGCCAGTGGTTCCTGTTCCTGTTGCCCCCTCAACGTGTATGCCTCGGACTGCTTCAGTGCATGTTGCTGTTGCAGCTGTTGCTGTTGTTGCTGCTGCATTGCTATGTGGTCTTCATAAAGTATCGCTGAGGGCTGTAGCAGCCACTGCAGCTCGTCCTGCTGCTGCTTGACAATGAACGTGATGCGGCCTTGATGCTGCACCAAATAACGCACCGCCGCCTCGCGTGCTGCAGCATGGGACCCGTACAGCGACAGCGGGAAACAGCAGACGTCAGCCGCAGCAGCAAACCAACAAGAAGGAGCGTCGGAAACGCAGCTGTAGCCGCATGCCACACACCACCTGTTGCAGTCGCTGCTGGTGCTGGTGCTGCTGCTGGCTTCTCCAGGGGCACCCGTTTCTCCACATTTGAATGAACTGGAAGACGAACAGGCCTTGCTGCTGCTGCTGCTGCCGCTTCCAATGCTGCTGCTGCTGCAGCTTCGTCTTGGCGAATCTTCATCGCTGCTGCAGCTGCGGGTTCTGCTGCTACTGCCGCATGTGTCAACTGCTGCATCAGCAGCACCAGCAACAACAGCGCCATCGTCAACGTCTACAGATTTCATACGGCTTGCCTGGGCCCGCGGTGTCTGCAGTTCACCTTCCTTGACACTGCTGCTGCCCGACGCCTCCTGCAGCAACTTGATGGCTGGGCACGAACACGCGCTCACAGCGTCACATTCTGCTGAGGCTTTCTGCAGCTGCCGCTGCCGTCCTCTTGCTGCCGCTGTGGCCCAGTCAGCAGCAGCAGACGGGACCGCAGCAGCACCCTTCAGCCCATCCTGGTCCAGCATGCTCACAATGTGCTGCTCCGGCTTAGCCCGCTGATCCCTTGACAGTGAGCAGCTGGTGCTGCTGATGCTGCTGCTGCTTCCAACAGCTGCTGCAGCGAGCCACGCTTCATCCCTGAGCACGAACTTCCGCTGCCGCCAAGTGACGCAGGCCCCCTTTGTTAGGAAGCACAAGCCGTGCACTGGGGGGTACCTCTCGCAGCCCTTCAAGCAGCGGCTGCAGAGATGTCCCGTTGCTGCTCCTGCTGCTGCTAATGTTGCTGCTGCCGCTGCATCTCTAGAGCTGCCTGCAGATGCACTGTGAGGGCCCTCAGCAGCAGCAGCACCTTGAAGCGGCTGTCTACACATCTTCACTAACTGGCTTCCTTCCGCTGCTGCTGCTGCATCGGGAGCCGGGCCACAGGGCGTTGAGCAGGCAAGCAGACTGTGAGGGTGTGCAGCAACAGCAGCAGCGGCTGCTGCTGACGCTGCTGCTGCTGAAACTGCCGCAGCAGATCTGACGCATAAGGAAGCTGAAACACGAGCTTCCTCAGCAGCAGGAGCTGCAGGCGCAGTTGGTAAACCACTGGCCTCGCCGCTGCTGCAGGGCAATCCTGTTTGTTCCTGCTGCGGCTGTTGCTGCCGCTGTTGCTGCTGCGCCGCCGGCACTCCGAGAGTGAGTCCGGGTGCAGCAACTCGAACAAAACCTGCTGCTGTTTGCATCCCTGAGTCTCTCGAAGCGCACGAAGCTGCAGCAACGGCTGCAGCAGCAGCAGCAGCAGCAGCTGCTGCTGCTGCGTGGGCAGACGGCTGCACCCCAAGCATCAGGCCAGCGGCATGAAGACACGCCGCTGCCTGCTGCTGCTGTTGCTGCATGCTTAACCACAAGCCCCGACCGCCAGCTGCACAAGCAGCTGCTGCTGGTGCTGCAGCAGAATCTACTGCTGCTGCAGCTGCGCCTTCGGCCTTCAGAGACAGACAAGGGACCACCCCGCGACGCAGCAGTGACGGCAGCACAGGCTGATGCTGCCGCTTACACGCAGCAGCTGCAGCACGAACCTTTAGAGACCCAGCAGCAGCAGCCGATGCGGCGGCTCCTGCCGCTGCAACAGCAGCACCCGCTGCTGCTGCCCTCGCATCCACAGCTGCTGCTGCTGCTCTTGCATCCACAGTCGCTGCTGCTGCACGTCCTGCGTCGCTGTAGCTCGACCCGGAGCACCGCGCTGCGTCGGTTGGTTCTGGCAGGGCTGCTTCTCCCGTTGCTGCTACTGCTGCTGCTGCTGCTGCATCCGACTGATGCCGCTGAGCTGCTACTGACTTAGGGAGAACAGCACCAGCAGCTGCTGCTGCACTGGCTGCTGCTGTTGAGCAGTCTGACCGGCGACATGTTATGTCCAACGTAATATTCCCGACGTCTGTAGTAGTTGCACAACATTCTTGCTGCGGCTGCTGCAACTGTTGCTGCTGCTGCTGCTGCTGTTGCTGCTGCTGCTTCACGCGAGGCCAAGGCGACGGCGCCGCTGTTGACTCCGTCGCCGCCTCCAAGTTGCTGCCACTGCTGCTGCTTCCATTGCACGCAGATGCAGCTCTGCTGCTCCCGCTGCAAGTCGTCGAGATGCAGCTGTTGCTGCTGCTGGTGCTTCTGCCGCTGCAGGGCAAGGCTCTCTGGAGTGGGCGGGGTACAGCTTTGATGCCTGCCTTTCGGCTGCCAGGAGCGCAGGGCTGCGGCAGCACAACAGCAGCAGCAGCTGCAGCAGCAGCTGCTGCTGTTGGTCCCCTAGGGGTCTGTGCAGGGGGTGTGGGGCCTCGGGGAGTCGCCATGTTCACTGCTGCTGCTGCCTGCTGCTGCTGCGCCGTCTCCCACCCATGCCACTGTGGCTTCGGTAGCCTCGGGAGTGCTGCATCAGCGGGAAGCACTGCAGAGACAGAAGCAGCGGCATCTGCTGATGCTGGTGCTCCTGTTGCTGCCAGTGAACAACGCGCAGCCGCAAGATTCTGTTTCGGGAGAGCGCAGGTTGTGTTGGAGCTGCTGCTGTCTGCTGCACTCGCCTGCAGCCGTGGAGATCGTGGGCGAGCCCGATGCAGCGCCAAGGGGCTGCCCTTGATGCTGTTTTGGCGGCGTCTTGCTGTGTTGCAGTTGCTGCGGCGCCTCCTCTAATGAGCCAGCATGTTACACGGGCCTCTGTGATTGCTGCAGCCGTTGCAGCAGATGAGACCAAGTTCATACACGTAAGCCCTAAGAAGCCAATAAAAACGGCAAGAAATACGTGCCCCCGATGAGGGAGGGTGTGCGCCTGCTGAGGTTGGTGTTGCCGCAGCTGCTGTTGTTGTCGCTAAAACTGAATCAAGCTGAGCTCGTCGGCGCAGCAGGAGCCAAGGAACGACAAAGGAACCGGCAGAAAAAAACTGGAAACGGCAGTACTTGCAGATGCTGCTACGTTCGATGTTGCTGTTGCTGCTGCTGCAGAGAGCGCCGCCGCGACGCCTCAGGACAGCGCAGCGCACAGACGATGGCCTGAAGCCTTGTAGCAGTTCATTCAAGAATCAAAATGTAGATATAACGATAATAACAACGTCACGAGGCAACAGCAGTGGCAGAAGCCTGCCTTCTTCCGCAGCAGCAGCACCACCCCTCCGCCAGCTGCGTCAGCAGCTGCAGCGCAGCAGCATGGCAGCAACTGGAGCAGCAAGAATACACGCTTGAGGGGATGAGTCTGCAACAGCATCACAGTACAAGCAACATAAGCAACAAATTGATTTTTTTCTGGCTGATCATTAGCGGCAACAAGCCGTAGGAGTCTCCTGTGCAGACTTTGGGGGGCCCGTCTTCCCTAGGGTTCGTTCCCAATGCTCAGAGGCTCGAACGTAGACAGAATAAGGCCCCAGGAAGCGGCAGCATCAGCATCAAAAGCAACAGTAGCAGCAGCAAGAGACAGCTGCTGCAACTAGGGCAGCGGCATTGCTCTGCTGTCGAATCTAGGCAGTCTCCAGAAACCTGAGAGGGAACAGAGTCTCGAAAGTCCCGTCTCTGCAGACCTGCAGCAGCAGCAGCAGCAGCAGCCTCCAATAGCGGCGCAGCAGTACCACCCCATGGAACCCGCCGGCCTAGCTTCCCCACCCCTCCATTCTTAGCGCGCCAACAGCTGCAGTAGCAGCGAACGCTGCTGCATCCAGTGCAGTAACCGCTGCAGCAGGAGCAGCCTCTGCAGCAGCCTCTGCAGCTGCCGCTGCAGCAGCCACTGCAGCAGACATTGCAGGGGAAGCTAGGATATTTTGCTTGCAGTGACGGTAAAGGCGCAATGGTGTTGCCAACTGCAGCGCACGTCGTCTTTGTGGGGGGCTTCAGAGCCCCATGTCCCGGTGCGGCATCACTAAGGCGGTACATTGTGGCAGCAAACATGACAGCAGCAGCAGCAGCAGCGGCAACGGCGCCCACAGCTCCGCTTGTAAGGAGCTTCTGCTGCAGCAAAATTGACCCGCAACGCCATGGGTTGCACCGGAAGGGCCTGCTGCTTGCCCCTGGACTTAGCAGCAGCGGCGGCATGCAGCAAGTACAGCAGCAGAAGCAGCAGCTGCGGTGGCTCTGCGCGAATGCAGCTGCATCTGGGCAAGCTGCAGCAGCAGCAGAACTGCCGCTTGCAAAGGTGCTGTGGCAGCAGAAATGCCTTCTGCGGCGCACCTTCTCGTTGCAGCAACGAGGCAAGCACAGTAACGCCGCGCAGCACGAAGACCCAGTTCCTATTGCAGCAGCAGCAGAAGCAGTCCCAGCAGCAGCTGCTGCTGAGGCGTCGCAGCCCTCTAGACGCAGTGCTGGAGTCCACGAGGCCCCAGAGCTCCCGCCCCAGTACCGTTCAGGCTTTGCTGCGCAGCCGCCTGTGAGTTACTTTTGGCTTTTTTGGGCTGCTCAGAGTATTAGCGGCTGCTGCAGTGACTGCAGCAGTTGCCGCTGCTACTGCGGCTGCTGCTGCTGACTCTACTTCAGCTGCGTTCTTGTTGCTTCTCCCGTGGATCCTCGTGACGGCGCTGCTCTTTGCTGCTTTTGCAGCGTCAGTCTCTCTCGCTGCAGTGCTGCAGGAGTTTTTGCTGCTGCTGCTGCTGCTGCTGCTTCTGCTTCAGCCCCCACCGCCGCCTCCGACTCGCCGGTGGCGCACGTGGATGAAAGTATTGGTGTTTGGGGTGATATCGGTTTCCCCCGTCGTTGCTGCTGTTCTTTTGTTCAAGTCTCTGTTGGTGCAAAGGCAGGAGCAGCAGACGGAAGCAGCTCGTGCTGCAGCAGAGGAAGACGCAGCGCTGAAAACGGCTCAGCAGGTAAGTCTGCAGTAGCTGCTTGTGCCCCTTTTGCTGTTTGTTTTGCTGTTTCTGCTGGTGCAGTGTTTGTTGCTAGTTGCCCAATTTATTCTGACCCGAAAGTGGGGAAGGAGAAGAAACAGTTGCAGAAACGTGAAATAGTAGCAGCAGCAGCAGTGGGGGAAAAAGCCTCGTCTTTTCTCTGTGTGGTTGCTGCAGATTGTCGCCAACTCCCTGTCATGCATTTGCATAGCAGGAGGCGCAAAAGATAATCGCATTGTCTCAAGTACGCTGAAGCTGCTGCTGCTTCTTGTGCTGCGGTAGCTGGTGCTCTCTGGGTTTCTGTATCTTAGTGTCGACCGTGTATGCGGCGGGTGCTATCATTGCCGAAGCTGCTGCAGTTGCTGCATTTGTGGCTCTTTTTATAATTGAGGTTGCAAGCTGCCGCATTCTGCTGCTGTTGGTGTGCAGCAAGTGTGGACCCGCACCTGCCTGAGAGTAGGGTGCTGCGTCTTCCGACAAAGAATTTAGTCAAAGGCATCGAGAACAATTCCTTGACATATTTAGTGGCGGGTGAGGTGAAACTGTTTAGTGCACCTTCTTTCTTTTGATTGCTTTGTCTACATCCTTCTACTTGCTACAGTATCCCTCCTGTCGCGTTATTTTCGTCTCCGCTCCTCATGTATGCCTCTTTTTCCCTACGTTTCTCTTTCATTCACGTCCCGTCGTTGTATGCCTTTATTTCTTCAATGTCATGTTCTCTGCTCCGGTTTGCGCACAGCTTCGCATTCTGGAGCTCTTTATGTGTTTGTGAACAGATATGTTGTACTGCTTTCCTTGTGTCACATCAGTCCGGCTATCTGTAGGGTTGTCTGTATGCTTGCTTGCCTGTCTCTGTTTATAGTTTTTGGCCTTTGTAGCTCTGGAACTGTTAGTACACGTGGCTGTGCAGCTATGTTCGTGCTTTTGTTGTTACTTCATTCCTTTTGCCTACTTTCATTTCAGACTATCGTGCTTGTTGTATTTTTGTGAGCTTGTCTCACAGTGCTTCTGCGCCTTGTGGGTTTATGTATTTCCCTTCTTTTCTCTTTGCTCCTCATTGCTCTTCTATTAGTCTTCTTTGTCCTGCTTTGTCGTTTGCTGCATCTCTTTCTTGTTCCTCATCTCTTGGGTCTCTTTTAGGTGAACGCAGTTCCTTCAGTCTTCCCTTCAACTTCATTCATTTTGCCGTTAGTGCCTCCAGCGATCTCTTCGAGCAATTTAAGGCTGGAAATCCCCTTTCCCTGCTCTATGTTGATACGTCTACGTGAGCTTTCCACCACGACCAGCAGAAGAAACTGCAAAGGCAACAGCAACAGCAGAAGAGGCGAGATCCAGCAGCTCGGTTGGTCGTCAAATGTAAATAGTGCTATGTGGATGTGGGCCGTGACGTTCACAATAAGGGAGTGGTCATGATCGCTGTTACGGGCGCACTCAATGCATATAAATGTATGTATCTATATGTGTACACCAATGCGCCTACTTGCATGGATTCACGTATTTGTTTCACTATATACACTACGTCCAACTTTGTGTGTTCCCTTTTTTGCTTGCTTAGGGGAGACAGTGTGCTCTTGACAGGAGTCGCTGCGGTGGTTGATTTGGATCCCTACAAGACGCACTACTGGCGAAGCTCATGGTCGTCCTCAATACCAGGTAGGCAAATGGGCAGGCATCTAGAACGGAATTGTTTTATAAGCATGCTTCTACGACAAGGCGTGCGTATGTAACATACGGGGATCTTTACTGCATCACCAGGTTGCAGTGAGATTTAGCCCTGTTCACGTGTTTATCTTTAGTGCTGCATTTGCCGTGGTGTCCCTGCACGTAACGCAGTTCGTATTAATGCTCACGTTTGTATATATTGGGCGTGCGCGTAGCTGTGAGAATACTTCCTATGTAGGTTTCTGTCTATGCAGCGGATGTCTTTGTACCGTTTTAATCGAATGTATAGCGCCTAGTTCTTTATAATATGTGCATTTGTGTGCTCGAATGTGCGTGCGCTGAGCTTTTTGTCTCATTGTTGCGTGATGTTTGTGCTTTAGGGGGTCGGACAAGCGCGGACTACAAACTTATCAAGTTTGTGCCCAACTCAATAGCCATAGATTTGGGTCTGAGGGGCCCCGCAAAGTGGCGGCCTATCCGTCTATCTCGCTTGATAACACAGGAAAACATACAATGGAAGCTAGACAACGCCCCTCCTGCCCCAATATCCTAGCTTAACTGGCGCTAGTGGCGCTTCAAGTGTTCGGGGCCATCAATGTGATGGGCAGGGAAGAGTCATGGGGTTCATGCTTTGGTTATAACATAGTTTAGTTTCTACATTGTACTACTTGCCCTATATAGGGCTCTGAGGGCATTTAGGGGCGGCTTTGCCGCCCAATTTATGGAGCCAACTGTCTTGATGATTTGTCTTTCTGATTTGAATATGCGAATGCTTTAGGCATTGGCTTGTTTTGTAGCTGCACTTGTATTTGCACTTTCATCTGTATGTATGACAAATTTGTTGCTGTATGGGCTCAAGCCCAAGAAGGGTGGCCTGGAAGCAACAGAGAGTGGGATGCCACCAACAAACTAGATGGATCCTCGTCGGGGGCGTAGCAAAGGCCTCTCCCGTTCCGCAGGGAACGCCCAATCTCCTGCACATACATAGCAGTGCAGCAACTTTAGAGGCTTGCAGTCGGGTTATTCAGTCGGTTGAAATTAATCTTCAGCACATGGATCCCATCGTCCCCGCTGTCCCACTGGCGGCCGCTGTGCGTAGCAGCAGTCGTGCATGCTTCGTGCATGCTTCGTCATTGTAAGGGACTGAAGTCAGGGGTCAACTGCAACCACAGTAGTAGAGCAGAGCCAGGTGACCGCTCATCTATAGTGCCGTTACGTAGAATGTCTGGCTGCGTGTTCAGTGGGCCTCCGCGGCGCTGGCATAGGGCGTTTGCCCTTGGCGTACGTGTCAATGACCATTGTCATATAGCATTGTGAACGCGCGTCAGAGGCTGTGCCAGTTCGTGCTTCATGTTTGTTGTTGCCGTGGTCGTTTTCGGCAGGCTAGGAGGTGAACAAAGGCCAGCGTGTGTTTAATGTTTAAAGTTAGTGATTTGAACCGTCGTTCCTAACTTACTTGTATTATAATATGGGCAGTGAACTGCGCGTGGGAGGCAGGGAAGTGGTGAACAAAGTTCGGAAGGGCTCGCAAGTGGATGTTGGGATAACGCAGGGCCAGGAACCTGAGAGGGCAGGGGCCGCACGTGTAGCTTTTTCGTATATCAAGCGCAGCTTACGCATCATGAGTTTTCACTTTGCCTTGTAGTAAATAAAACATACTGCAGTACGTACTACATAAGTGTAAATTATATTTTGCCTGCACCAAGTGTGCGGTGAATGTGCTTGCTGGTTTCCTCCTGAACTCTCCTTATCCATGTTGCCTAGAAGTGCGCTGCAGCTGCACCAAATGAGGCTAGAGCCTTGTGATCATTTTGGGGCAGCAAAACTTCTTACGTTGACCGTACCAGAATATATCATTGCTAGTGAATTGGGGCCTTCAAGCTGTTAGCTCGGTCATCTACTCACCTCGCCTGTCTTATGGGGATGACGCCGTCGGCTGTTCCGTGGAAGAGGCTGGCACGTTGGCCTCGCTGGCGCAGTAGCTGGAAGGTCATGTCAATTCTGTCTTGCACTGAAGAGATAAAACATCGTGTGTTTGTGACGACAGCAAGGGCGGCAGGTGCACATAGGGCGCGTGCAAGTGAGCAATTACTCATGTGCTTGTGCGAAGTGAGCCCTCTACAGGCTGAGCAGGGCTGCTAGGGCCGCATCCATGGCTTTACAACCCATTGTTGCATAGGCGACGTAGAAGAAGAGAGCTGGTAGGTACGGGCTGACCTATTGAACGAATGGTGCCTGTGAGGGCATCTGGATGTATGCTGAAGACGTCTGCGACAGACAGCTGTGGCAGTTCCCCACGAGGCACTATTCGAAGCACCAAGGGCTCGAAGAGGGGTCGCAGGATAACGCCGAGGCGCAGCATTAACTCCCCAAAGTAAGGGTGAGCAACTGTCTACAGCGGGAAGATAACCATGACAAACCCGAAACAGCCACGCAGAGAAGTCCACAAATAAAACCGGTGGCATAGTGCGCTGCATAGGCATAGTTACGCTATGCTCGTGTCACTTATTACAGTGAGGACAGCAATGCCGCGAAAATGCCGCACTCGCGAGGGTCATGTGACTGTAAACAGGAGACGCGCATGTATGTAAAACAATGCCATTCCCGGTGCACGTGAACTGCTTCACGTTTTAACCATGGGAGGTGAGCACGACACAAGGAGAACACTCCATCCACGTTAGAATTGTTTCGTTCGAGGGATCGATCAAGCAGGCATGGTCTAGTGGCTATGACGCTCGCCTCACACGCGAGAGATCCCGGGTTCGATCCCCGGTGCCTGTACTACCTCGTTCACTTTTGGGTACATCGTTTGCCAGTTAGCGAAAAGTGCATCCTGGCGTGGGCTTTTTGCCATGAACAATTCCTATATAACGGCGTACAGCAGAGCAGTAGTTCTATGTAGCTCTCTGCTGATGCGTCCAATGTCCCAACAACAGCTGGGAGTTTCTTCGCTGTTTCACGGTGTGATGTTTACTTCCATAATGCTTTAAGGCTTTCGCCATGAAAGGGCTTACGTGTGCTGCTGGGAAGTGGGACGCTGTGAGGATCCTCATGGCTTGGCGCTCAGACTCGAAGTAGGCGGGAGCCAACAGAATAAGAGTTGTCACAAACCCAGCCGGCAGCATCTCGCACAGCTCAGCAGCAACGAGGCCTCCGAAGGAGTGCCCGACCTGCAGCAGACTCCGAGCAGCAAGACTATCATCACCTATCCGTAACTTTCGGCTCCAACCCTGGGAGGAACCTTACGTACCTTTAGTAGGCTTGTTCTATTCGTCGAGTACAACCATCTAGTGCAGCCAAAAACGAGCAGTTACATGACTGCATGTGCATGCCACCATTTTTGCCAATGATATTGATACAATTATAACAAGTTACTCACCAAGTGCACAGAAGTGAAGCCGTTCGCGACAATAACATCCCTAAGGATCGCCTCTGCCTGCGAACATTCACACTGTGCTGTAGCACAGTCCAGCAGCTACACACCTGAACGAACGAAGTCAGCTACCCACCGAAGACAGCTGGCACCCTGTACCAAGTGAGTGTCCCGGAAGCTCCACGCCGAGACTTTGAACTGAAGTATTAGCTTTTTACACGCTTTGGGCTTAAAGCCAACGCTAACAAGATATCAGGCAAGCGAGAAGCCACTGCTTCTGTCAGTCTCGAGGCATACCTGTTCTCTTCTGGAGTAATTCTGCGTTGATGAGATTGCGGCGCTCTTCCCGTAGCCAAGAAGATCCACGCAGTAAAACGTGTACCGCCACCGCTCCTGGGGGTCCTCGTCGTGTGGGGGGAATTGCCCTAAAATGCCCCCATGATGGGAAACCCCCTTACGAGCTCCGTTCTCCGAGTCCGGGAAGAGCACGCGGATGACATCCGCAAAGAAATAGCCGCTCATACATATCCCGTGGATAAGAATCACCTTCTCGGGGCCCTCCCCTAAGAAAACAGGTACATATAAAGCAGAATAGATGGCAGGAGGCCCTCACGGCTCCGTTAGTTGCTAAGCAGATAGAGCGCGTGCATTCTTTTTTGTGCCAAAGAGAATGAGGCAAATGGGGTTAGTAGAGGGCTGCAGTTGCGTGTATTTCCTCCTCCAGACAACAAAAAGGAAAAAACGTGCAATACAAAGATGCCTGCCATGGAATATTACGCAGTTGCTGTCGTGTTAACATGCACAACAACGTCAGCAACGACTGCAGCCACAACAACATAAGCAGCCGAATCCCATCAAGCAACAGCTTGCTGCTGACCAACACGGCTGTAGTGGAGCCTCTGGTGTTGGTTACAAGGAGCCTCTGTGTTGCGCTGCTGCTTCCCCGAGGGCCGTTGCCTGTTGCACTGGGCGCAGTCCACAGTTGCCTTGACCCTGCTCAAGAAGTCCACGGCCACCTCCGCCACCTCCAAAGCCCGCACCGTTTCCGCGTCAGGCAGCGCCACAGACGGAGTCGCACAAAACGGATGCAGCAGAAGAGCAAAGCCGTCATAGGGGGGGTCCAGGGGTGACAGCCGCTGCCGACGCCCCACTCTGTCTCGCCCACGGCCACTCCTCTGGCGGCTCCGCCGAACTCGAAAGTTCACCGCCCCCTTCCACCCCTCCCCAAGAGTCTCAGCAGCCCCAAGAGCCCCCGATCCTGATGGCCCACTGACACGAACGCGGCCCGCCCCAGAAAGGGGGTCTGGGTTTGGGGCCTGCAAGCTCCAGCGTGCGCTGCAGCAGCCGGCGCGAGTTGAAAAGTCCCAGCGACTAGCCCGCGCAGCAAGAGGCCACTGACATGCGTGGGGAAGCAAAGCCAGGCAGTCGCTGCCCAGCTGAGACACTGCGGCGGCTGCTGCCTCCCCAGCAGCTTCCGCATCCGCTCGTGCGTCTTCAAAATGACAGGGGGAGGGCGAAGCCGGGCTGATCCCTGAAACTCTGCAGCTGCTGGCGGCCAAAGCCTTGCTCGGCAGCAGCAGCTGCTGTTCAGGCTCTTCTTGCTGCACTCTTTGTGTCCTCGTTGTGGACAAAGTGCCTTTTGTCAGCTTTTGCTGGGCGTATGTGGGGGACAGTGAGGAGGTGCACTGGCGCTGTGCTGCTGCCTCGCAGCAGCTAAATGCCTCTGCTGCTGCTGTGGCAGCAGCGAGGTGGGGAGAAGGTAGGGAACTCGACGAAGGGGGGCCTTCTGCCGAGTTTGGATTTGGTCGTTTCCTATGGCGACGGTGGGAGGCCACGCGGGAAGGGCTGATTTGCTGCTGGTGCTGCTGCTGCTGCAGTGCAGCAGCGGCAGCCTTCCATATCTGCCCTCGGCTGCAACGCAGCCCCAGCAGCCGCTTCCACCCCCACCGGCTGCGGGACTGCTGGTGCTGCTCTTCTGCTGCTGCTGCTGCCGCCTCCAAGTCGGCCAGCAAAGGCAAATCCCGCAAGTTCAGAGACCCCGAGGCCAGCAAAGCACACACATCAAGGGGGTCGACTCTAAACCTTTTGTGTTCTGCCTTTTGTAAGGGCCCCGTGGCCTTGGGTGGCTTCTCAGGGGACCCATGGGGGGCCCACTTTGCGGTGGGCCCTCGGGCACTGGGCACCTGGGGTGGGACACTTTGAAGACGGTTCTCTTGAGCAGCTTTAAAGCCTTCTCTTTGATGTCTGAAGGCCTCGCCTGCGCCGCAGTGTTGCCCGTGAGATGATGCGCGAGCCCGGGCAAGTTGGCACAAGGCCAGTAGTTCAGACTGGGATATGGTGCAGGCTAGCGTCCTCTGGAAATTCAACTTGATGAGGAATATGCTGAGTGCGTTTGTGAGGCTTTGAGGAAGTTTCACGTAGTCGCACGCAGTACTTCCTTCCTTGGTGTCTTCAGGGGCCCCAACGTGGGCCTCCGCCTCGCCAGTCTCAACCACCTGAGAACGGCGAGAAGGAAGCTTTACTAGTTTCCAGAGACGGAGCGTCACGGGCACAGAAGGAGAGGCACCTGGGCTGAAGGGCCAGGGAAACAAGAAGGTGTGCATTCTTGCTAGGATCGCCCATTGCAGGTCAGGCAGTATGGCTCAAGCATGAATTAAACTGCATCGAATTAAATATAAAAAATCTTTACTTGACATCACTTTATACAATTTTGAAACAATAACAAAAAAATCAGGAACAACGGAAGCAGCAATGGACCACGGGGACCCCTGCAAACAGACCACTACGGAGCGGGAAGCCAGGATCTGCTTTGCCTCATTCATGAAATATTGTCTCTAAATACACACTGGCAATTGAATAGCAGATGAATATTAAATTGTGTCTATTTTTGAAGACTATATCCACTTTTTACGCTTGTACATGTGAGGAAGCGAGCAAACCCCGACGCCAATGGCACCCACCGAACCGGTTAACATGCTCCAGTTCCATTCCCCTAATCTTGAGGTTAAAAAAACGTTTCCCGCATTTAATCACTAAAATCAACATTCCAGACACTAGGCTCACTCTGGTTTAGCGTATTTCACATGGCATGGAGGTGACGGCTCCTCAGTAAGAACATTTGACCGCTCAACTATCTTTAGACAGAACACGGAGTAACAATCCTGTTTCCCTTTAAGTTGAATATGGCGAGAAGAGTGCTCTGGTGTGGCCCATTAAGCAACGAAAAGGGAAAAGGGTCGCTTTCCACTGCTCTTACAATGGAGTTGTTGCAACTGAAAATTCATACCAGACTGTCTTCGATTGAAACACCTCTATGCTGGATTTGCTGCCTTAGCTGCAACATCAGCTGAGCTATGCGTCTATTTCACATCTCAGAAAAGAAATCTGAGGGGATCAGCTGGAATTGCAGCTCAGAGGCGTGGGGGAAAATTCCAGAGAAAAGCTGTAACTCTGGCTGTTGCTGGTATTCCTCAGCTGGCCAGGGCTAGTGGTGCCGGCGGTTTGGGGGGATTTCACGGAGTAACTTAGCAGAGCCCAGAAAGCTACAATACACATATGCTGTTTCTGTGGTTCCTAAGGCGTTTCGCCTGTGAATTTCTTGACTGTGCTCAAACTAAACAGAGGGGGAGGCAAGGTGCTCACATGCAGTGTGACCACGAAGAATTAATCGCCTGAGTTTATAGCTTTATTCTGGTGTATTCTGTGGAGGCACTGTTACTGCATTTTCGCCGTTTGTTGCTTTGAGGTTTCATTCTCTTGGAAGAACACCGGCTCTTCTGCACTAGAAGCTCGAGTAGCCAAGCAGCCTATTCAAACGTTGCTGCGGCTTTAGTATTTGAAGTTTGGTGAATGTAATCCTATGTTTGTCTCTGACGTTTCTCAGGACCTAATAATCAAGACAAGATTTAAGCCTCTGTTTTACTGCCACACTGTTGCCGGAACTCCCCCCTTCGCTGCCAAGGTCCTGTAGCCCGTTCCAGCTTTAGCTTCAGCAGCTACTAGCCTCTAACAAAAGTCGCAGGAAACTAAACCCTAGGCGCTAACCCTAAGCCCTTTGGCCCAAGCCCAAGGCTTTTGATGGAGCGACTTAGATGGAATCCTAAACATATTTGAGGCGGGTCCTCTGGGCTTTATAGCAGTTGAAAAGAGATGCTGCTGCATGCAGCCAGGCAGCATGCGTATGCTTATCTGCATTCTGCCAAACAAAAGCTCCGCCTCTCTTGGGAAATGGTCTAGCCAAACCTAAGCATGCCTAATTATTGCATGCGTCGCTGTAGAGCCTTGGCTAGCCTCGCCTACCTCAGGCCTGCCGCTGTAGCATGTCAGAGCAACTCCTGTTGTCTTAGCCCGAAACCCCCGAGCGGTTGGTGTAGGCCCGAATGCGTGGGACGGTGTAGCTGGAAACCGCCTGCTGGCGTACCTGCTGCAGGAAATTGCAAAGATAACTGCGCACAAAGGACTCAGCTGCTAGTGCTGCTGCTGCAGCTGTTCGTGAGGCAAACTGAAAAACGAATTTCCGCGAGACTTTGTCATTTAGGTGGCCATTCTGTGCCATGGGAACTCAGTTATGAAGCTCCGAAAGTTAGCAACTCAGCATTTTCGCTAGGTAGAGTGAATAATGTAATTTATTTCCGGTAGCAGCAGCAGGGCAAATCCTCCTACCTGGTCATGCGGTGTCTGTGCACTGCGTGTTGGAGTCATGCATCCCTTCAAGTAGTTGCCAAGAATGCATGTATCGGCTACCGGCTCAATCTCCTGTTGCTCCTGGAAACTCCGCGACCTCCTGGCTGCTGCTGCTGCAGCTGCTGCTGCTGCTGGGGGCGGGGCGGGACTGACCATAATGTCTACTGGCACCGGGCCTTCTGAATCTGTGTAACGAATACTGGGTTGTCTAGGGCCGCAGGTGGGTGCAAAGCAGCAGCCTGAGCTTGGCGGGGTGAGGGGCTCTTCCGCCGCAGCCCGTTCGCCGTAAGGGGGCCCCCTAGGGGCCCCCGGTGAGGGCCCGCATTCCGCAGAGGTGGGGGCCTCCCAGCTCGAGCCTTGCAGATAAAAGGTGTTAGCATCCTGCACGGGTTTTCCCTCGGTTATGTACACTGTGGGACGCCCGTCCTCCCCATTTCTTGTGAAATTCAAGACCACGGGAGAGCCAGTGGGGGTGCAGAGAACTGGGAGAAACAGAGTAGCAATTCACAGCATAAGCAAAAAATTACTAATTCAACATTCGTAGCAGTCACCCACAAACAGCCAAACGCCTTCATTACCCACTTCAGCAGGCCAGCACGCCTGCACACCATTGCACATTTACTTAGAAATAGCAACTACGGCAATCTCACCAGCCTTAAAGTCCGTGCCCGCCACTTCTTGGTTTGTTGGCAAAGGCCGGTTGTGCACGAGGACGTCATCGACGTACACTTCCACATTTGTCTTCGGCTGATCCCCTTGCCCCCCTTCATCAGCCACGTAGCGAATCTTCACGCGGGGCTCAGCAGCAGCAGCAGCAGCAGCAGCAGGGGCCACCTCTCCAGGCAAAGGCCGGCCAGGCACACTTCCAGGCCGAGGTGGAGCGGGCCAGGAAGACCCGGACACAGCCTGTGGCTGCGATGGGTAACGAGACCCTGCGAGACAAAGCACAAGACCACAGACACGAAGCCTCTTCAAATTACAAACAGAAACAAAACAGAAATTAAAAAATCACACATTCCCATGTGCATGCAAGCATGAAGCCTTCATTGTTTCCTGGGAGCCACGCAGAGCCCTAAGTAAGGAAAACTGTAGCAGTAGGACTCTGGATGCAGGTTTCTGAATTTTGGGGCCGTGGGTGGGGATTGAAATGTCTTAAGTCCCTTTTGCCCCAACAAACTAAATGTCTTAATATTCCTTTCACAGTTATGTGTCTCGTTGCTATTCACGTGAAGCTACATTACGTAGACTACGCACAAGTCGGGGCCACGGTGGAGTATCTGTCAACGCCATGGCCACCCGCTGTCGTTTGCACAGAAACGTCGTCGCCGCGAGCTGGCTCAAAGCTGCTTCTGTCTCGAGGCCCCCACGCGCTTCTGGGGGTAGAGAAGCACCCGCGGCCTGAACTCCCGTCCCGCGTAGAGCCTGAAAATGCAGCAGCAGCAGCACCAGCAGCAGCAGCAGCAATGCACCAACAACGCCAGTTTTCCCCAGCACGCCTTCCGCATTGGCTTCCCCTATGAGCCTCCAACAAGCGCTGAAGAGGCCTTCGCCTTAGATGCAACTGGAGTGTACGTACAGGCCGTGTTTGGGTTTTGTCGTCTGCGGTATGGAGGAAACACCTGCGGCCCCAGGGGGTAAAATTCATATTTATTTTCTTCGGCATCAAATAGAGTAACTCCCTTTTTATTAGACCGACAGGGCGCAGGTCGAGGCGCGGGCCGCGGCACAAAACAACAAGGAGTGCAGGGGGCCTCCAGCACCCCCCCCTTGGGTGCTGGGTAGTACAGCGGGCCTGGAGGGTACTCTACAGGGGCTGAAAAGGCAACACACATTCAAGAAGAATATATTTCCACGACAGCACAAACATTCACTCAAGAAAAGAGATGTTTCTACGATAACACAACTCTGGTGCTTATGCCTACTTACATGCAGGCAACAATAACGAAGTGCAAATGCATGCAGATGCATGCACGCATATATGCCTACGTATAATATAAATGCGTGCACATATATTCATGCATGGGCTCAAAGCTCGTTTTAGCCACAAATTCCACTCAATACGGCTATAAATTGAGTCTTCTTGCTGAAAGCGACTACAAGTCTACACAGTGAAAATGAAAGAACACATTATCACCTTCAGCCAAAGGCCGCCGCAAAGGATCAACATTCCACAGAGCAAATGGATCCAAAAAGGCGTTGTTTGCTGCTGCAATTTGTCGAGGGTCTATGGGGTGTTTCGCGGGCCGGCGCAGCTTTGCGCGGGTGGTGAAGTATTTGTCACCCATTTGGGCCATGTGCAGCAGCAGCTGAGTCTGCAGCAATGCAAAAGGGAAGGAAGCCACAACGAAGTGCAGGAAAACTAGACAATAAAACACAAAAAAGAAGCGATAGGACGGGGAGATGCAAGAAAAGCCACGAACAGAAGGCAAGCGGAAGGACGAAGAGATAAGTTCGTCACTGGCACTTGTGTGCGGTCTGTCTGTACAGCTGAAATAAAATGGATAAGATGGCAGTAACTAGTCAAGGAGATATGTGACCAGTGGACAGCTGCAGTACAGCGTGTAGTGACACCCAAGCGGGAGGCACTGAGCACCTGTCGCAGCCTTTGAATCAAACTGGGCATCCAAATCTTCACTTTCTCTTCCGTAGAAATTATCCAACAAGCGGCCACTAGAGATCTGCACAGCAGAACAGATCCCCAAAAGAAATAGTGTTTCAAAGCAAAACCAGGAAATAAAACATAAAAGAACAACAGCTACACTAGAAACGTGCATGTAGCCAGCGACAAAGACACATAAAAGAACAGTAGCTGCACTAGAACTTCGCATGCAGCGAGACATAAAGTGCTGCTGCTTCAAGTGCCTATCTCACTCAAACATGTTTGTGAAAGTCTGGACATGTGTGGGGCCCCCCTCTTCTACAGCCACAACGAAGGGGCCTAGGCTCATGCAGAGGCTGGCGAAGGCCGGAACTGCGGGGCCCGCCAGAAAGTTGTCCACTTCTTGGTCTACCCACAAAATTCGCCGAGAAGGTTCTATGCCAGCTTCCTGGGAAAATTCAAAAAGGAAAAAATAGAAAGAAAGATAAAAGAAGACGAGAAGGAGGCGCAAACAAAGCGAACACAATCAGCCCGTAACTTGCACAGTTCCGACAGAAAGAAATTTCAGTCACCAAGGATGCATTCTGGAGTGTACAGACGCCTCGCAGCTTGGCTTCAAAAGCTCAAAATAACTCACTTCCGACATTTTAGTGAAGTAGTCAGTTGCATACAACTTAATCAGTTCGCGCCCCGTGGGTGCGTCAGACCGCTGCGGAACAGAAGTTCCTTCTAGGCATTCTCTCATGCGAGGAATGAGATGGTCAACTGCAAAGACAAAAAAAGCATTTAATGCATTTAAATAGACAAGCCGAGAAACAAATTGAGAAGTCTGTCTGCAACTTTGTGAAAGGATCGCGACAAAAAAGTAGTGCCAAAGATGCCGAATGAGCACAAAGACTGGCAAAAAATGACGAAACTTGGGTTAAGAAATACATAGTGATCTGCTTTTGACTCAAACAGAAAAAAATGTGAAGGCTCACACTTGTATCCCAGAAACTCTTGCAGGTCTTGCAGTATGGCATTATCTTCAGCCATCCGTTCTGTCCTCAGTCTGCAGCAATTCACAAGGGGTAAAATGAAGAAAAATGAGAAAAGAAGATATCTTTCTGGCTTTCAATGCTGGCCAAAGACAGGCGTCAAGGGTTCTGGACTGCCAGCCAGAAAGCTGGCTAACTAGCTAGCCAGCTGGCTAGCCAGCTAGCTAGCTTTCTGGGGTGGTGGCTGTGTCGCAGTTACTTCTGAGTCCAAAAGATGTGCTCGATTAGCACGGGCATCCACTTGTAGAGGTTTTCTGTGTCTGCACTTTGGCAGCAATAGCCCACGCAGGCCTTTACGTATTTGGCCACGGCTTGGCGCGTGGGGAGGCTCTGAGCCAACGCCAAGTAGCTCCTTCCAAAAAGAAACAAACTCGAAAGAGAAGTAATTCTGTCTGCTCTTTTGCGAGCCCACAGCAGCCGCAGCGCCTCCTTGTCAGCCCGCAAGTCTGACGGCAAATGCAAGTCTTTAACTTCGGGATACATTTCGTAAAAGTGCATTTCCGACATTATGTCGAGAGTCTTCCCGCCCAGAACTATCAGCTTTTCGTAGAGCCTGAGAATAAAGGAAGAGAAGAGTGGCACATTAGCTCTATATCTAATAAAACACAAATAATTGATTAATAATAATATATAATGACACTAAAACAGCATAAATAAGAATTATAATGCAACGGAAAGCGGGCAGCCTGCCCTCCCTCAGAATTCGCACAAGTGCGAATTCGTGGAAATGTGTTTATATGCATGCATGCAGGAGTGCATGCAAATGCACAAGTCCGAATATTCATATAAGTTTGCAAGGCTAAAACTGCGCTATATCCGTTTGTAAGCATTTGCATGCGGATTATGCATATCTGCAAGCTGACACCGCCGCCAGCAGCTGCAGCAGACGCCCAGATGCCCGCGAGCAGCAGCAGCAGCAGCAGCAGCAGCAGCAGCAGCAGCAGTTTGAAAGCTGGAAAGCGCACCCCGGCCCGCCATTTGCTACGTCTGTGAAGCAGGCCTCGAAGTCTGCAGGCGGGAGCTCGAGAGGCAGATAGCCAAACCAGTTGGCGAGGTCAAACCAAGTGCAGCAGCGGCGGTCGCTGCAGACTTTCTTTGCTGCTGCGCGTTTGGCTCTGGGCCGCTCGCCGCGCCCGCCCAGGCTGTCCGACTCCGTCGAAACTTCGTCGGACTCCGTCTCAGAACTTGAATCATCGCCGGCAGCAGCAGCCAGGGCTCTCTCGGCTTCTCCTTTGGGGCAATTCCGCTGGTGGCGGAAGCCCTCGGCGTACACGGGCATAGGCAGCAGCAGCAGAGCCTTTTTCCGGTTTCTCAGGACTTAGGCAAAAGCTGAGCCCGCGATCGCGCCGGACTCCGGGCCTGCTGCGGCCACTCCCAAGCAGCTCTGAGACTCCAGGTGAGATAAAACAGAACTTCAGAGCCTTCTGAAGTCTTTTTAGCCTTTTCAGCGAGCCGCTGGACACAGCAGATCCCGCACTTCAACGCATACAGCGCGGGTACCGGTGGTCGGCCGCGGCCCGCCCCGGCGTGCGGCGCTGATCTCAAGCTTAAAAGCTTGTCTGGCTCCCTTTCTTGAGCTTAAAAGGAATAAAAAAGCTCAAGCAATGTTTAGTTTTCCGAAAATTCGGTTGATCGCCCCCGGCTTGCTGGTAAATCGCTTGCCGTCTTCTCGCGCGCGCGTTGAGGCCTCGGGCTGCGGGCGATCAGCGCGCAGGAACTGATCTTGTCCGTTTCGTGCTTCTTTTCGGAGAAGTGTCTGCCTTATTTAAAACACAGACCAATATTAAATGAAATTAAGGGGGAAAGAGCACCAATTAGCCACAGCAAAGCCCCCAGTGCCTTCCTCCCGCCGGCTCCGAGCCTCAACTGCACTGGAGGCCACGCCCAAACTGCCGAGGAATTCTGCCACTTGCTCCCGACTGTACGAACACTTGAACCTTCTCATTTGCAGAAAAACAAACTGTAGTTTTTGCATGATAAATAAAAAATACGAGTGTACCATTTGCTGGCAGAGAGAAACAGCAGAGCGGGCAGCAGCAGCAACTACCTGATGGCTCTGTCGGCTGGGCTTGGGGGCCCTGTCGGCCCGCAGCGCATTTAAATGATTCTAACTCCACAGCCCCAAAACTGCATGCATTAATTGGCATTAAAGTGTATTAGAAGGCAAAAAAGACAGAATAATCCCGAAGGCTGAGGAGCCCGCGGGTTTCACTTCCCTGTGTAGCCTCTCCCACTTGCCTTGGGGCTTCTGGCCCGAAGGCCTCTGCCACTCTCACAGCGCTTTGTCTTGCTGCTAATCCTCAAAGCTGCTGCACTTCGGCCTTAACAGCCTTTGCTTGGCAGTGGGGGCCCCCGGCTGTGCCTCCCGCGTACCCTTCCCTCTCCGG